TACAATTCATGTTTACTTACAGAGTATAGTCCTATCATTATACAGGTATACTATGAAATATTATTGTATCCCCCGGCAGTATGCCGGTGGGGTACTTTGGATTCAGCAGCGTTACGCCGCCGCCGCCGCGTCCGCCGCCGCCGCCGCGTCATATTCTTGTGTGCGCTCTCACTGCCACATTTCTTGATGGATTTCTTTCAAATTTTGTATGGAGGTGTATCCTGGTATAATCTTCATACCTGTAAGTTTTGGTGATGCTGCCCCCAGTGTTCCGTCTTCTATAGGGTACAAGGCCATATTTTTGTGGATGGTTTGTGTGCGCTCTATAGGCCACATTTTTAAAGGGATTTTGTTCAAATTTTGAATGAAGGTGTATCTTGGTATAGTCTACAAGCCTATAGATTTTAGTGATGCTGCCTCCAATGTTCCGTCTTTTATAGGGTCAAAGGTCATATTTTGATAGATGTCTTGTGTGCACTCTAGGGTGCGCTCTAACTGCCACATTTCTTGATGGATTTTGTTCAAATTTTGTATGGAGGTGTATCCTGGTATAATCTACATACCTATAACTTTTGGTGATGCTGCCCCCAGTGTTCCGCCTTCTATAGGGTACAAGGCCATATTTTTGTTTGTGTGCGCTCTATAGGCCACATTTCTAAAGGGATTTTGTTCAAATTTTGAACGCAGGTGTATCTTGGTAGAATCTACAAGCCTATAGATTTTGAAGATGCTGCCCCCAGTGTTCCGTCTTTTATAGGGTCAAAGGCCATATTTTGATAGATGTTTTGTGTGCACTCACATTTCTTAACAGATTTCTTTCAAATTTGTATTAAGGTTCATTATAGTTTACTCTAGACCTCCACAAATTTGGTGCTGCTACCCCCCAGTACTCCATCTCTTATAGGGTCAAAGGTCATATTTAAAAGAATATCTTGTGTCGCTATGCAAATCACATTTCTTTCAAATTTTCTATAAATATGCATCATAATCTGATCTACACACCTATTGTTTTGGTGATGCTGCTCCTAGTCTTGACAATAGTCTGAGCCACTTGCGGCAATCTCTACGTCATCCTTTTGTTTCACAAAGAGGAGAGGGAATCTTTGTCCCTCCTTCCACATAAGGATAACACAAAATCGCTGCCACTGCCGGGGGATACATTCGCATTGCGCGGCAATACAGATTGCGATATTTCTAGTTTAATCTGATTAATTGGCATGACAAGAAATTAATAAATTACATCTTGGTCACATATGGTCATTATATTGAGTAAAAATATCTATAGATTTGAATTCAGGATTCGTGTGAAGTTGGGAATGGGAGACTGTCTGTAACGCTCTGTTCTCATTTTGGGGGTATTGAGCTGGAGAGAGTTGCGGAGAGTGCGTTGTGAGATAGTTTGTCTAGTTTCAGGTAAGAGATGGCGGTGGCGGTCTGAGATCAGTAGGGATTTAGCAAACTTTTCGCAAAGAACAGAGCGTCGTTCAGACAGTCTGACAACACTCAGCGACTGCAGAAGTTGAGCATAAGACATTGTGTTGGGAAATGTACCAGTGATGATACCCAATGCTCTCCTCTGCAGCCGCTCAATGCTGTTTACTTGGACAACAGTTAAACTAGATGACCAAACAGGTACACCAAATTCAAGACACGGACGAATGTACATCATGTATATCAATACCAAGTCCCGAGTGTTGACACCGTTCCTTTTAAGTTTACTCAGTACATATAGTTTGCGTGATGTGTTTTTGACGATGGTTTTGATGTGTAGATCCCATTTAAGATTATCTTGGATTGTTATACCAAGTAATTTCATATAAGATACCACTTCAAGCTGATTACCATTGATCTCCAAATGGGGGGCAGGCGGTGCATTACGCAAGAATGAGATCACCATGGTATTGCATTTCGTTGGATTGGGCCTCATGTCGTTTATTTCACACCAATCAACAAGAGAATCAATGTGTGTTTGTAACTGCGGAGGTTCCGACTTGTTGACAACCTCTAGAAGGCTTAGATCATCGACATATTTCCAGCGGTTTTCTGTAGACAACGCGGCATCATTAACCATTATCAGGAAAATAATGGGTCCTAATTTAGTTCCCTGCGCAACACCACAAGAGAGGTGGGAAAGATTTGATGTAACCCCACGATAACGAACAGTTTGCGTTCTTTGCGTCAGGAAACTACAGATAGTCGGGAGAATTTTTCTGATTGCTGTGACATGGTTGATATGATCGAAAGCTTTACTGAAATCGATCATGCATAAGTTAACATACTTCCCAGGTCGGTCAATTCCCCGATGAGCATTATCCAAGAGACTGATTAAGTAATGGCAAATTGATGTTCCGGGCATGTTCCCAAACTGTTGGGGATCAATAGCATGGTGCACATCTTCAATAGTCCAACGGGCAAGGAATCCCTCAAACACTCGTGCTAATACTGACGTGATAGAAATGGGCCTCAGTTGGTCAGGTGTCGTTGCCGGCCGGACCTTAGGCACTGGACATACTGATGCATTTTTCCAAATATGTGGGAAACATCCATTTTTCAAACAGCAGTTGAAAATGTGGGTGAGCGGCTCAGACAGCTCGTACGCAAATTCCTTGATGAGGCGTGTTGGGCAGTCGTTCGGGTGACCAGCCTTGGAGACATTGACTTTTCGTAGGCATTCAAAGACCTTTTGTCGCTCGATGATTGGAGGTGGTGTCGGCACAGGGAGGTAGTCCGGCAACGAAGCCAGGTCGAGAGATGGAAGGGCCGAGCAAATCCGGCTAAAATGAGCGTTTATCTCATTCGCAATCTCCAAGTCGGATTTGTCGGCTAGAAAGCTGAGAGACTGATGATGATATTCAGAGGTCAAAGCCTTAAAACAAGCTGATTTCCATTTCGGTGTTTAGGCATGGTGCTAGTGTTTAAACCTTAAAAACTAAACTTGAAATCACTCAATTCTCTTTCAAATTGCTTATAACTGCAAATTTTCCCAATTTTCTCTTTTCTTCTTCATTTTTTTTGTTTGTAGTGGTTATTTTTCTTCAGTCCATTTACAGGATAAGAAACATGCGGTTTTATCATTATGTCTTCATAGACTATATAACCTTTTCCATTGATAGCATGTCAGAGTACCCGATTACACACTTTGATAAGGACCCCATTTCATTATGTATGTTGACATGTATATTATACATGTATGTGTGTGTGTATATCTATTTTTTTTTTAGTCAGTCAAAATCACTTTTTAGAAATATATCAACAATTTTTCATGTCGATAGATGCCCAAATAGTCTCATGTAGTGCTGTTTAAATTAAAATATAATTGTTATCCTTTGGCAATCACTGAATTTCATTGTCTAGAGTGTGAAAAATGACTCTAGCCAAATTGAAAGAAGAGGGAAAATTAAACCAGCTGTTGGAATAAGAACTCACATTTGAACATTATAAAGTTAAAATTAAATTTAAAAGTGACACAAAGTAATTCCTACACTCATAGAACATATGTATATATTTATGCAAAATGGAAATTTGTTGGAATAGGGAGAATTTTTTATTAGACTGCTGGTTTAAATTGACCTCTTCTTTCAAATTAGCACAAGTCATTTGTCAAAATTGCTAAAAATTCCATCAATTGACACATATAACTATCACCATGTAGTCTTCAACGACAGTTTGAAACTCTTGACTGTAGAATGTAGGTACTGGGATATATTTTTGGACTTATTCTTTTAAAAAGCAGATGGGTGGTTGCAACCCCCCTCTCTTGACAAACACATACCGATATATGGATTTAAACTGTTTATGTGACAAAAATAAGGGCTTCATAAAAGTAAATGATATCCCATGTATGCACACAGGAGTGGAAATGATTTTATGGAGGTATTAATTTCGACTGTAGCTAATCCGGCCATCCAGGGTTTTATAAAAGTGAGTGTGTGTGTTTGTGTGCGTGAGTTAATGTGGGGAGGGGTATACACATACTAGACTCACATTACTTTCTCAGTTCAGGTGCTTTGGTTCACCTTAAGTTAATATTTTTTTGAAATTTGAACATGATTAAAAACATGTCCATGAAGATCGAGTCATTATCGTTGCTCTTCAATTAAATTACCCCTATGACAATTGCCACCAAAGTGACGACACAGAAAATCTCTCTGGTTAATCCTAGGAGAAAAATGCATATACATTCTCATGTGAAAGATGTTTTTTTCACAGGGGCTACGTTCTTGTTGCAGCAGTTATTAATCTTTGGTGTAATTGTCTTAACCCTATTTAGTATAGAGATATCGACTGCTACTCGAGGACTGGCTGTTTCTATACTGGCTCAAGGGGAAATTTTCATCTGCTGCTATCACCCTGATGAGGTGCGGCTGGGTGGACGGTGCGACAAGGGGTGATAGCAACGGATGAAAATATCCCCAAGAGCCAGTATAGAAACAGCCATTCCTCGAGTAGTCGATATCACTTTTATATGCCGAATTCAAACAAAAATCTACCAAGGTTATTTGTCCCTTTTGTGCGCTGTATATACTGCCACATTTCTTGAAAATTTTTCTTCAAATCTTGTATCTCCATATATCTTGATCAAATTCTTCACATCTGTAGTGTTTGGTGATGCTGCCACTAGTGTTTGAAAAATTTTCTTCAAATCTTGTACCTCCGTATATCTTGATCAAATTCTTCACATCTGTAGTGTTTGGTGATGCTGCCACTAGTGTTTGTCTATTATAGGGTCAAAGGTCATATTTTTGTGGGTGTCTAGTGTGCGCTCTGCTCTGCAGGTCATATTTCCTGACAGATTTCTTTCAAATTTTGAATGGAGATGTATTCAAGATTCAAGATTATTTTATTGGTCCATGCATGCAAACATTACGTAGAAATTTTTGTTAGTATCTTGGTACAATCTATACATCTGCACTTTAGGACGATGCTGCCATAAAAAGTGAGGAATGGTATGAAGAAAATCTCACTCCTAATCTCCTACATTGTTCATATGATTCATCCAGGTACTCAAAACTTGATCAAGAGAACCTCCAGATGCAGGTAAAGCAATGGGCAGAACAGAATCCATGGGATAGGTTCGAACTCAACCTAGCACCTTCAGCTCCCTCTGGAGAATTAGACTCTATGCAAAACAATGCTGAGGTATCCATGGAGCAAGATTTGGAAGAGGATGAGGAAGTTCTCCCATTGCCTTAACACTCTGCAGGAGGAGGAGGAGCTGCAAGCGGAGGCGGACGTGTTTCTGCTGAGCTCCCTTGTTTCTCATATTTTTTTCCGTTTTGGCGTTTGTTTCTATGCTGTGATTGGTACTAAAGTGATGATCTGGACGCGTACAAGCCATTTCTAGGATGAGTCTTTTGATTTAGCTTTTTGATTTTCATATATTTGGTGATTTAGTGATCAAATTTTGGCTTTTTGATAGTGAAGGAAGTCAAAATTGCAGTTGTTTTTGATGCGCGTAGTGCTAAACACCTGTTGTCAGTGACAACATATTGCGCACTCTGTTATTTGTTTTATTACTTCTTTGTTTTTAATTGCGCATACACCTGCGCCAGCGCCTTTCATTTGAAGTACGCACAGAGGAATTATCCTTTATTACAATATGAACATTTTATGTTACTATTAATATGAAATAATATGAACAATAAATAAATAAATAAATGAATAATAATAATAATAATAATAATAAATAATTATATTACTGGATTTGTAAAGATATATATATTACGCTTTGTACTGATATGTGCGTTGGGTGTGTTTGAGTGCTGATAATATTATTATAGTTCACAATTTGGTCTTTATTCAATTATTGTTTTTATATTTTCCTGTTTTACGTGATTAACTTAATCATAATTTGTTCTTGAATCGATTGGGTGAGTGGTACATACGCGGTATTATTTTATTTTACTTTTAGGCTCTGTATAAGCTTGGCTTGTTAGAGCTCTTGTGAGTTGTGTGCCGCGGGGTTTCATATCCTTAAACTGCTGGCGAACAGAGCAACAAGACCAAGCTCTGTAATTGTTAGGTTTCTCCAATGGTAGGTTTGTCCAATAATGCCGAGTTTGTGCCACGGAACCTAGTCGGACATTTCGATTATATTCTTTTTATGTCATACGCCTTTATCCTTTTTTTGTTTTTCTTTAAATATTTTTTATAGTTTAGTCTACCTTGCTGATACCTCCTCAAAATATATACGATAGACTATCATTAATTCTGCTGCATTACCATATAGCTTACTTAGAGGTTACTGCAGATCAATCACCTGTACTGTATCTACATGTAGAGTATAGTTAATTAGTGTAGGAGAACAGTAAAAACAGTGGGGCCATTGAAGGAGCGTTCACGTCGCGGTCCGTCAGATGAAAATCTGCGAATCTTTCAACCACACTACTCAAGTTTCTTTTAACTACCACAACCAACACCATGGCTACCAATGACAATGATGACCAATTTGTTGCTGAGGCCCAGAGTCGAACTCATGGGTCCTTGTCAGGACCGGCCCTGAGTATCATCTCATCCAACATTGAAGGTCTTTCAGGCGCCAAACAAGAACTCTTGGCTGACCTATGCATAACAACCAACTGTGACATTCTCTGCCTCCAGGAGACCCATCGCGGGCCTACACGAGTTCGCCCTCGTATCTCCGGAATGACCCTCGTCGCAGAGAGACCACATGACCAATACGGAAGTGCAATCTTTGCCCGTAATGGTCTTGCTGTGGACAAATCTTACCTATCAGACATCAATAACATTGAAGTCCTTTCTATTGACCTAATGGGAATCACCGTAAGCTCCGTGTACAAGCCACCTCAAGAGCCTTTCGACCTGCCCGGCAGAGCTACTGACGGCAGGATGAATGTGGTCATTGGTGATTTCAACAGCCATAGCATTTCCTGGGGATATAGAGAAATGAACGAAGATGGTGAACTCGTTGAGACATGGGCAGATGCTAACCAGCTGTCCCTCATTCATGACGCTAAGCTTCCTGCCTCTTTCAACAGTGCAAGGTGGAGACGTGGCTACAACCCTGACCTGATATTTACATCTACCAGGATTGCTAACCAGTGCGAGAAAGTCATTCTCGACCCAATCCCTCACTCCCAGCACCGACCGATAGGGCTTAAGGTTAATGCAATCATTACTCCACGAGCAGTACCCTTCCGACGTCGTTTCAACCTGAGGAAGGCAAACTGGGAAAAGTTTGCTAAGGACTTTGACTCCTACATCCAGGACCTACCTGCCACCCCCCAAAACTACGACACCTTTGTAGAGTTGATAAAGAAATCGTCAAGGCGTAACATCCCCCGAGGATGTCGCACAAGCTACATTCAAGGCTTGACGGACCACTCCAAGGTGATGTATGAAGACTACATCGAACACTTCCAGATGGACCCCTTTAGTGAGGAGACACTGGAATCTGGAGAAAATCTGACCAAGGAAATTGGTGAATCTAGAAGGAGGAAGTGGCAGGAATTCATTCAATCCACTGACATGACACATAGCAGCAGGAAGGCATGGAAAACGATCCGGATACTGGGCAATGACTATACAAAGGCCCAACCAAGATCTGAAGTCACTGCTGACCAAGTTGCCCATCAACTCCTATTGAATGGTCGGGGAAACCCTGACCATCACCCCAGAAGAGCCAGACTCCCTAAGGTCCCAGACGCTCTAAGCTCTCAAGATGACCCAGGCTTCACTAGACCGTTCACCATGGACGACCTGCTTGCTGCCATCAAAGCAATGAAAAACAACAAAGCTGCTGGACTTGATGACATCCTCTGCGAGCAGATCAAACAGCTTAGACCAGGCGCCCTCAACTGGCTTCTCAAAATGTTCAACGAATGTTTGGGCACCAACAACATCCCAAAGCTCTGGAGGAAATCCAAAGTTATTGCCCTATTGAAGCCTGGTAAAGACGCAGCCAGTCCAAAGAGCTACAGGCCTATCTCCCTACTGTGCCATACATATAAGCTGTTCGAGCGGCTTATCCTTAACCGCATCGCCCCATTCGTGGATGAACATCTCATTCCAGAACAAGCAGGGTTTAGGCCAGGAAAATCATGCACTGGCCAACTCCTAAACCTCACTCAGTTCATCGAGGACGGGTATGAGAGTAAGCTAATCACCGGAGCTGCTTTCGTTGATCTCTCTGCTGCCTACGACACCGTGAACCACAGAATCCTTACCAGGAAGATCTTTGAGCTGACAAAGGACGTGAGACTGACTGGACTCATCCAGACGTTGCTGTCCAATCGGCGATATTTTGTGGTTCTCAATGGGAATCGCAGCAGATGGCGCAGACAGAAAAATGGCCTACCACAAGGAAGTGTGCTCGCACCGTTACTCTTTAACGTGTACACGAATGACCAACCGATCCACCCAAACACCAGGAGCTTCCTCTACGCCGATGATCTCTGCATCGCCACCCAGAACCAGTCTTTTGTGAAGTTGGAGGAGTCCCTCAGTGATGCCCTGGCCGGTCTCATCCCATACTATGCGACCAACCACCTGAGAGCTAACCCTGATAAAACTCAGATAAGCGCATTCCACCTCAAGAACAGGGATGCCAACCATCAACTAAGGATCAGCTGGTATGGGAAAAGGCTGAAGCACACTCCCAACCCAGTCTACTTAGGCGTCACACTCGATCGCTCCCTTACCTACAAGAACCACATTGCCAACACAAAGGCAAAAGTTGGAGCCCGCAACAGCATCCTCAAGAAGCTAGCCAACACCAACTGGGGGACTGATGCCAGAACAATCCGGACGACAGCCCTCGCGCTTTGCTTCTCTGCTGCGGAGTATGCATCACCAGTATGGAGTAGGTCGGCCCATGCACCCAAGATTGACCCAGCTCTAAATTCATCTTGCAGAGCGATCACTGGATGCCTAAGGCCAACTAAAGTAGAAGACATCTACCTGCTCTGCGGTATTGCCCCTCCACACGTCAGAAGGTTGGTCTTGTCCCAGAAAGAAAAGGACAAACAAGAAAACAATCCACTCCACCCACTCTTCGAACAACAGCCAGTGGGCAAGCGGCTCAAATCCAGACACAGCTTTCTGCACTCGGTAGAGCCTCTTAATACTAGCCCTCACAACCAAAGGATGACTTTGTGGTCTAACCACCTTCAGACCACTCCACATAAACTCTCCCTCAGCCCGAAGGAATCCCTCGCAACCGGCTCCAGTGAGACTTGGCCTACCTGGCTTAGCCTCAACCGCCTAAGAACTGGCTACGGTCGATGCAGAGTCCTAATGCAGAGGTGGGGTCTAGGAGACGAACAAACGGCATGTGAATGCGGCCAGGAACAGACAATGGAACACCTGCTAGTCTGCCCACTCCTGCCAGAGCCATGCACCCAAGATGACCTGGAAGCCGTTAATTCCCGTGCTAAAGCCTGTGTGGACCACTGGACGGGACTTGTGTAGTGACTCGATAAGAAGAAGAACACTCTGCATCATCAAATTTCTTCTTCTGCCACCAAACAGAGTTTCAACGTCATCTCTTACACAGGTTAATGTTACAATAATTTGATCGATGTCTAGATTTTTGTGTTTTAATACAGATTACCGGCGTCGCCCAATTACCCCCTGGCCACACACCCCAGGAAACCGACCCCAGGAACCCCCAAGGACAAATACCACTTGGAAAATTGTCCCCAGGGAAAAGGAAATTCACTTGCCAAGGACAAACTTCCCTGTGGACAATTAAAACCCTTGAGGATGATTATTCACGTGGACAATTATCCCCCCGCCTCCATGTACAATAACCCTCATGATACGTGAGATGTTGATTAGGCAATTGAAGTTCATGGGTCACATTACACGTAAAGAATTAAGGCCTAGAGAATCTGCTTTGACGGGAAAATTGTAGGAAGAAGGAGTAGGGGAAAAAGAGAATACTTTGGATGGACAGTCTGCAGAAGTGAAGAAGTGAAGGTGCTAATAGAGAAGGCTAGGAGCCGAGGGTTGTGGAACAGCATGATCGTCAAAGTTAACCGATTTGGCACTTAGAGAGAGAGAGTAGATTAGGATACACATTCAAAAGGGAGGGGGGGGGGCAAATTAGAATGTAAGTTTTCATTATTAGTGCATCCTCTCTAACTTTCCTTACCAACTGATAATGTTATTTGGCTTTGCATGAGTGTTTACCCACAAATATATTTCAATATCTATTTCATGTTGAATTGAAATAGGTGCATTGTGTTTTCTGGTTCACAAATTGTTATTTTGCGATTTTGCCTTTATGTCATATAGCATGAACCAAACATAAAGTAAATATCTGTTTCCTGGTAAATTAATCTAATTTGCTTCTTAAAGGTAATACAAAGTTTTGGTATGGGGGTCATAAATTTGGTTCAAATGAACATATTGGACGCATATGCGGTCCTACAATATTCAGTGATCGTTGTCGTGGTTGAAATCGAGTCTAAAGTTATGAAATTGTAAATAATAAACTCTTTATGTTGTATAGCTCCCTCTCAAGGTCAAGATATAACTTAAGCTATAAAACAATGTTTCTTGGCTAAAATCTACCGATAAATTGTTCCCGTTCGGAAATTATATATCACAACTACATATTCTGAGATTTTCATGATCGCAGCTACCATTGTACGGCCGTAGGCGCTATTTGAAATTTATCAAAATTTACTGGGAGCACCGGTAATTTTTATTTTCAATTTTTCTCGAAAGCAGAAGTAGTTTAGGGGCTAAATTTTCTAGTGCTTATAATACATCCACAGGGGCATCCAAATATATCAAAATTGTAAAGAATCACTATCCGCCCAATTTTCAAAATTTCCCAAAACTTTGTATTACCTTTTAACTCTAGAGTAGGGATTTAATCAGGGTGCAGCAAGACAATTTTAAAAGAAACGTTTATTAGGAAAATATTGTTTATCTTGTGAAAAACTAACAAACACCCCCAAACATAACAAATATAAATAAATTAAAAAATCCCTTTCTTGGGTATCTATTTTTTTCATAGATAGTTTGCAGAGTGGGTGGGGGGGGGGGGTTAATAAAGTCTACAGGGGTAATTACCCCCTGAAATAGATTTTCACATGGATGGTTTTCATCTGGGGATAGTTGTCCGTGGGCATGGGTGTTGTTGAGATAATTATCTTTGGGGATATAGATATCCACGGGGTGGTTGTCTAAGGTGATAATTTTCTTTGAGGTGATTGTCCTGGGGGGTGGTTGTCAACGGGGTAATTTTTCGGGAGGGGATTAATTGTCCTTATGGGTAATATTAGGGGAGAAGTGTTTCATGGGGGGGGGGGGGGGGAGATGAATGCCTAGGGGTAATTGTCCTATAACCAGAGATTACCAATACATTTATGCTAATGTCAGTTATGATACCATGTTGCATATCAATGCTCATTGCTTCAGGATACCACCTGCTTAAAGGTAATACAAAGTTTTGGGAAATTTTGAAATTGGGTGGATAGTGATTCTTTACAATTTTGATATATTTGAATGCCGTTGTGGATGTATTATAAACGCTAGAAAATTTAGCCCCTAAAACAATTCTGCTTTCAAGACAAATTGAATATAACAATTTACCGGTGCTCCCGGTAAATTTTGATAAATTTTTGAATAGCGCCTACGGTCGTATAATGGTAGCTGCGAACATGAAAATCTCAGAATATGTAGTTGTGATATATAATTTTTAAATGGGAATAGCTCATCGGTCGATTTTATTCAAGAAACATTGTTTTATAGCTTAATTAATATATTGACCTTGAGAGGGAGCTATATTACAATTCCATAACTTTAGACTCAATTTCAACCGCGACAACAATCACTGAATATTGTAGGATCGCTTATGCTTCAAGCATGTTCATTTGAACCAAATTCATGACCCCATACCAAAACTTTGTATTACCTTTAAATCTAAATTTTAAAAAAGCTTTCTAGAGATGGTCGCATTTTGGATATTAATCTTGATTCCAAAATATTTGTTTTCTTGAATCTTCCTTTTTTTGGGGGGGGGGGGGATGGTACATATGTTCTTTCTTTTAAAAAAAAGCTTCATTGAAAGGAGTGGCAAAAAATGGAATTTCATGGTTAATGCAACTAAAAAATATTTGCATTGAGTCTATATTTGCCTGTCAAGATCCTGCATGCAATGCTGGTAACATTTCTTAATTTTTTTTTTACATTGTAAGGAAAGTGCTTGGAAATATCTTGTCAACACATTCAACATTGCTTTTGTGATATTTTCTTTGTGTTTTTTCTTCATCATAGGTATGGAAACACCAAGGTGTTTGGATGCAACGTATCGCACCACGAAGTACGCACTACCCTTGTTCTTTTTGTCGGTGAAAACCAACTACGGTTATAGCGTAGTTGGGGAGTTTGTCGTACAATTTGAGACCACTGCAGCAATCAAGCAGGGATTGTGTACCATCCAGAAATGGCATTGCATGGAATCCGTAATTTTTTATGACGGATTTTTCAGAACGTGAAATCAATGCCATCGAACAGATCTTTCCAGGTAATAGCAATGATAAAAGTATTGTATGTTTCTTCACAATATATGTTGCAGTCTTTGAAAATACAAGTTCAATTTAAGAATCAATTGAAATGTAATTATACTGAATGATTAAAATCTTTAAATCTTTAGAGTGACAAGATATGCCATCAATTTTAAATGCATTTAGAAATCTCTTTGCATGGTCATAAAATACAAAAAATGGTTATTGACAGTACATAATTTATTAAAACCATATTGAATCATAATAAGATTTGTTTGTATTCAAGACATATGTAGATAATGTACTTTTGTTTTATTTTACTATCGCAGATCACCTCTTGTTTTTGTCAGAATTTTTTTTCTTATTTTTTTCTTTCAGATTTTTGTGAGCTCGCTAACTCAATTATAACGATGTACTTTTGTTTTGTTTATTATTTTTTTGCAGCATGCACTGTCTTTCTCTGTGATTTTCACAGGGAACAAGCATGGACACGATGGGTTCGGAAGATAGAAAATGGTGTTGCTTCGTGCAAGCAGAAAGTGCTCTCCATGCTGAGAAGATGTGCCCATGCCACTGAGCCATCAGAGTACAATGCTGCATTGGAATACCTCAAGGCTTCTAAAGAATGGCAGGAAAACCCGAAACTACAGAAGTGGTTCACCAAACAGTGGATTCCACATTCTAAGGTAAGAAAGAAGCAGTGTCTGTCCTTGTATGAGACTTTTGCCACACAGTTTCATTCTATCTTTTAAAAACTGGTGGTGCCCAGTTTCAAACTGGAATATTGTAGAATGTGATATGATCCATTATTACCCGTATCAGACATCTGAGCTGGTCATTTACAAAACCGTATTGCCCTAGTTTTCACTAGCAGTGGGACCGGAGGGGTATATTCTTTGTATTTTCCTTGGTCTCCCTGCGCGTATTGACTTTGCGTTTAGAGACGAGTGAAAATATACCTTGGTATTTTCCACGGTCTCGCATTCGGGCATCTTCTATTGACCGCGTCGCATTTTCATTGCGCATCTAATGCGTACGAGAACCTGCATACTTTGCGCGCACTCTATTGTGACGTAATAATCACACCAAATACACACTGTTTGCAGTGTATCGAAAATGTTGTCAAGCACTGGATGCACAGTGTTGGTTTGACAAAGTTTGTTCAGTTCTTGAGATTGTCATGGTGGATTTCTGTATTTGCTCTAGATGTCTGATTTGGATAACAATAAAAATATTGACTGGCTTTACTTTCGGGGGATATCAGAAATATTGACCGCGCTAAGACCATATTGCCCTCGTCTTTCGACTCGGGGCAATATGATCTGAGCTTGGTCAATATTTATGATATACCCCTCAAGGCCAGTCAATATTATATAATTATTAACCGTATCAGACATCTGAGCAGGGCAATTTTTAAATGTTATTGCCTTCAAGGTTTGATGGATAAGCCAACAAAATTACAATATTTTAGCCCGCTCAGAAAAGTCAATGGGATTTTGTGTGTAATTTGCCGGTCAATATGGTTATACAGTAAACCAATGAACAAATATTTTAGCCCGCTCAGAAAAGTCAATGGGATTTGTGTGTAATTTGCTGGTCAATATGGTTATACAGTAAACCAATGAACAAATATTTTAGCCCGCTCTGAAAAGTCAATGGCAAAATGCGTGTTAAACTAATGAGCAATATTATAGAGCCAGTTGTAATTTACATCGCGCATCAGCTACTGTAATTTACATCGCGCATCATGTATAAGAAAATGACCACTTTGCGCGAACTCTATTGTGACGTAACAATCACACCCTAGGCAAACTGTTTGCAGTGTATCAAAAATCTGTCAAACACTGGATGAACAGTGCTGGTTTGACAATGTTTTTGCAATTTCTAATGCTAGGAAACCCTGTGTAGCCTACATAATTTAAGAGTTTCTTGTTTGCTCTAGATGTCTGATGTGGTTAACTCTTATCCTGCCATGAGACTGCTAGCGCGCTATTGTTACAGTGCCATGTGCACGCGAGCGTGCTATCGATTGAAAGCCACGTTCATGCTAGCGAGCCACCGCTACGGTGCTTTGTGCGCGCTAGCGCGCAGATGTAATAACAGTTATTGTTCATGCCCATTGCACCGTGTTGAGTGCTTTTGCAGCGCTATTGAAAGTACCATCGCGTGCATCAGATTATCGGCTTTGGATTACGCGTCTTTGTATACAACAGTCAGATTGGATTTTCTTGAGTAATTCAGCGATTTTTTGTTTGTAAAGATTTAAATAACACGCACTTGAACCAACCTTAAAATTAACTTGGCACGCAGGAGATTAGCACTGTGGCACAATGGGAATTAGCACTGTGGCACTGGGTGCATTGTATGGGTGGCAGCTTAAGAGTTAATAATAGTAATATTGACTGCCTAATTCAGGGCAATACGACTTGTCATATATCACCCTCACCTTCGGTTCGGGCGATATGTCATATTGCCCAGAAGGCAGTCAATATTACTTAAGTATTACGTTTTTAATCACATTACTCAAACCAATACATGTAATATCTATTTTAATGCCTCCGCCAACTTAAGATTGTACTGAAGAAATTATGTTTTGGGCTTGTCCGTAAAATCATCAATGATATATTTATTTCTTGAACAAAGACAACAAATTGATTATACATCCGTTTTATATTTCAGCGCTGGGTATGGGGCAACCGTTGCAACAAAGGAGTTCAGGTCAACACCAACAACGGACTGGAGAGGCAGAATGGGATATTCAAATATTCCTTCTTGGAAAAGAAGAACGACACCAGTATTTCTGGAATGATTTCTATTCTCATTTTGGAATACCTGCCTAATAGCATGCGCAGGTAAGGTATACAAACAGAAAAAAACTAAGAGAGAATATAAAATAAATTTGAAAATCTTAGACCTAAAGTGACTGCTACTTTTTAGGGGTGTTTATAAGGAAATGAAGCTGGAGGGGAGCAGAGCATATGGAGCAGTGGAAATCATGCTAAAGATCTAATTGGCTTCAAAACAACTACATTGTAAATCTTTTGCCCTCCCTATTGTGAATGAGTTAAACTCTTGAAAGTATGATCTTATTGGCCCGTATTCTGAACTCTGGTTTAACTTAATTAATTAGTTAAGTATGTGCTAAAATTATGGGAAGCCAAAAATGTATGTTTCTTACGTTTGCTGGGCTCTTTTCTCATGCTTTAATGGTGAATAAAACTATTGTAGTTATCATTCCAATACAGTTTTTAATAGTTTGAGTGCCAAATGTACTGTTACAGTTTTGTATCACTTTTGGCTACCCATTGTTAAACCACAGATTTAGACCACAGTTTACATTAAACTGGAGTTCAGAATACGGATCAATATGTCTAAATACAGTCAAACCTGTCTTAGTGGCCACCTTTCTATAAATGCCACATGTCTATAGTGGCCATGCATTTTGTCTCCCAAGAAATGTGTGGTATTTAACCCAGCTAGTGTTCATCAGTAACCAGTGATCATGGAGTCACCCTATATACTAAAACAAGACTAATATCAGTAAATTAATAAATAAACAGTAATAAATGTTAATTACCTGTCTATAAAGACGTTGAGACCACTAAATGTGGCCACTGTATATATGAAACCTGTCTGAGAAAGGGCTTATGCCGAAAGGGTGATAGCGTCGCGTTGACTTGAACGCAATCATTCGTCCAAAGCCCCCCCCCCCCCCCCCCCCCCCCCCCGTTGTGCCGAAAGGGTGCGTTGGGAGTGTCGCATCGAGTTGACTGGAATGCGACCATTTGTCCAAATCCCCCCCCCCCCCCCCCCCCCCCCGTTTTGAAGAAAGGGTGCGTTGACTAGTGTTCCATATCAGTTGTTTATAATTGAATTTAAGAAATAGATATTTAAGTCGTTTGAATTCAAATAATTAAAATAGAAACAGATAAAAAATTAGATCAAACTAGCTTTTACGTAGTCTTGCAGATTAGGCATTTATTTTGATTATTTTGATTTAAACGACTAAAATTTCTAGCCCTTAAATTCTATTAAAATGGCTGATGTAGGAGACTAGTCGACGCACCCTTTCGAGAAAAGCCCCCTACGTAAAAAATAAATGAAGTTGAGAAGACCTTCTGATTATAACCGGAATAAATTGTTCTGAAAAACAATTTGTTTATTAATACATCATTCTAAAAAGTATCAAGCCTAATAATGCGCTAGAAGTCATGAACAGGCAACCAAGACTGCCCAGAGTAGCAGTGGTTGATCCACCGTATACTATCCAGTATCCCCACATTGTTATTATGTATCTCTAACAACACAAAACATTATCATACAACTACAAAACCCCTACAAAACATAATCAATACACTTATGAGCTGCTTTCAAACCAAGCACGATCATTTTAATAGAGAATTATGTGTAACAATCCTTGATAGCTGACTGGGAGCAGTATGATTCGGACGGCGTCGCCAAACTCCTTGTTTGAAGCCCAGAAATCAATGTTAAAAGAATGATGTAAATGTAATGACTTCAAATAATGTATAAAAATCATGATTCATGCAGCATTATATTCCTTTAACTCTGATTAACTACTTGACTGCAACTCCCTGATAAAGACTTTAAACATCTCATTCATAAAATAGAAAGTACAAGTGTCACAGCACAATTTGATAACATATGAATGGAATGAATACAAAAACATGGACGTGACAAATAAATTAGAACATACTTGACCTCAGAAGTGTCGAGAATGACAGACATGAGCACTATACAATTAGTATAATTTCTTTATTCTTATTGAACTTCATGATTTTCTCTATTCTGAATGTTTCTGTAAAATTTACCTAATGATTTTAAATAATTTAACAATTTTGGCAAAAACTCAATATAAAAATTCATGACTACATTGAATACAAATGTATCTAAAAACTGCTGAATTCTATTGAACTTGCATTCTCAGTACATACCAAAAGTAAAGCCGTATTGCTATTAATAAGCTAAAATATATCATGAGAGATAATAAATATTTCTACAAGTATTTACCAAAGACGTTAGTAATTAACACATTATTTCAGTCATCAAAACTCTGGTAAATAATTAAAATAATTAACATCAATGATGCAAGAGATGAAAGAATGAAACATTTTACATTTCACGTCAGGATTTCCAAACACTGCATTCTTCAGATAAGTCTACATACCGGTAATGCACATTTACAAATTCATACTTACAACTGTATCTACAGAATAATGAAAATAAATTATTCTATATTGCAGAAATATTACACAAGATACATATTACCTATTTCTAAAATTTTGTGCACAGCAAACTTTCGACACTATTTATAAAATATATCTACAAGCAGTCAGTTCTTTGGGGGATACTTCTTTGTAAGCATTTTCAACAGATTCTGTTTGTTTTGGGGGATGTGAGAATAAAAACCGATCCATAAACATGTAATCCTCATTTTAACATCAAAAATCTGGATGTTTATGTTAAACATTTGAGTTTTTTTTATTTAACACTGTGTACATCATATTCAATCATTGCAATAACATGATTTATTCATGGTTTTGAATACTTTCAAACCACTTTAATTATCTTTCCAAAACAATTATTGCTAAACATTAAAGTCATTTGATTGGCATCCGACTTTCTGATCAATAATCTTCTATTTGTGTAGGCATGCTTTATTTAGATGTTAATGAATACAAATAACTAGAAGTGCATGATAACATTTCATGAATAAATCCTAGATGGTAGGATGGAAGAAAGCACAACATGATTAGGTACATCGTTGGATCGGTGTATTGAGCGCTATATAAAAAACTGTATTATTATTATTATCAAACCATGTCACATAAATAAACCTATATCACTATACCCTTAAACGAATAGAAAACATAATACATGTATCATTAAAATAGTGTTTCAGCTGTTCTATTCCATCAATGCAATACACAAATCTTTCTAAACTTCCAGCAGAATCCATTAATTTTGGAACGATCAGATCCACAGGGAGAGACCCTTACACATTAATCAGCTGCGTTCATATTTCTACAATAGGCCACTTGTTCACATAGAAGCGTGATATACACATCACATGCATGTAACATGTTGTAAACTTCTCCAACTTAGCTATGTACAGGCATTCTTTCTTCTCTCCATAAAGTAAAGTAAAGTAAAGTAAAGTAGTAAAGTAATGTAGGTAATAATACATGGCATGCTGAGTACTTGTTATCAGGTTTGAGTCACTCATGACAGGGAGGCACTAGATAAGCAAGCTATTCAAAGCACTGCATCTCAAACAATAACAACATTTGTTTTCTATGGTAAAAGTTTCACTGATAATAAGAGCTAAGAGCCAGAATGGCACTGCCGCTCTATCATCTGGTTCTAAGCAGACAATGTGAGTGATAAATAAAACACAGAGCTCTGTAAGTATAATACATTTTATTCTAAAGTATTCATTGATAATTTACACACTCTCCCAAAAAGTAAAAGCCAGTGGCTACTTAAAATTCTGATTACAATATACTGTATGGAGGCAGTGATATTACCAGGGTTTAACATACAGCGTACATGTATGTGGCAACTGTCTCTACAATGTTCTCATCTGATTTTGTTTTTCAACATGGGGAAACATCACTAAATGGGCATAAAAATTCAAGGAACTTTAAATGGGCAGTGTTGATATCCAAGGAGCCGTCAAGAAAAGCATTAGATGGAAGTTGACCAGTGGGCTTTAGATGGGCATGGTGGGCAGGAGGCATAACCCAAAGACAGCATCCCTGGACAGACAGAGGCCACTGGATGTTCCCTTTAGCAGGCCATCAAATAGGCGGTGGACCGTTGGTATAGCGTAGCATGGGATGTAATGAGCGAGCAAAGTTATTTGTCAGGGTACAACTGTAATCTTCCTCAGTCATTGGAATAAAACATGCTACACCCAGTAGTAGAAGCATTAAGAGATGGAGCGGAAGAGCAGCTCGTACTGCTCTTGATAAGAATGCTCTACCCCCTTGGCCTGTTAAAACTGGAGCTCTGTAAATGAGAACAAAAAATCAATTTTAATTGAATATTGGGCATTCACAACATTATTATAAAAGACTTTGATTAAGTTAAATCTCCATGTATAAGACGCACCCTATTTTAAGGACCAAGACCCTGACACCGAAGGCAACAAGCCAGATCAGATCGTATCTTATTGCAGCATTCGGTAAGGTACGGAAACCCAAGTCAGGGAATTGGGAAGGACTTTAATTTATTACGAGGCGCAGTTGAAGTGCTTGTGAACTTGTCACAAATAATAGTAACAATGTTGTTTTTAAAACTAAATATTACAGATAAATTTTCCTCTGAGTCCAAACAGAAATTTGGACAGCCTAGATTTTGAGTAGTGAGTCAATATCCCCCGTGTGAGTGAGCTGGATGATACGGTTGAGTGAGCTGAAGACCTGGATGAACTTTGGCCGGCAAAGTAACCATGTGAAAAAGCATAAGAAAAAAAAAAAAAACTCTCTCTCCTTCAAATTAGGAACGTAGTTTAACTTCAAATAGTAGATCCTATTCTTTATTCACATTATGTGATTGTATCCCCCGGCAGTATGCCGGTGGGGTACTTTGGATTCAGCAGCGTTACGCCGCGTCCTATTCTTGTGTGCGCTCTAATAACTGCCACATTCCTTGATGGATTTCTTTCAAATTTTCTATGGTGGTATAATCTACACACGTATAACTTGGATGGTTTATGGGAGCTCTATACGCCATATTTCTCAGGGATTTTCTTCAGAATTTGAACGAAGGTGTATCTTGGTTATAGATTATCTATACAAGCCTATAGATTTTGGTGATGCTCCCTCCAGTGTTCCGTCTTTTATAGAGTCAAAGGTCATATTTTGATAGATGTCTTGTGTGCACTCTAGTGTGCGGTCTAACTGCATCATTCCTTGACGGATTTCTTTCAAATTTTGTATGGAAGTGTATGTTGGTAAAAATCTATGCACCTATAGTTTTTGGTGATGCTGCCACCAGTGTCCCATGTTTTATAGTGTCAAAAGGTCATATTTTGGTGGATGTCTAGTGTGTGCTCTGCAAGATATATTTCATGAAGATTTCTTTCAAAAGATGTATAGAGATCTATGTTGGTACACATCTCTCCTTTTTGGGGGATGCTGCCCTCATTGTTCCATCCTTTATTAGGTCAAAGGTCATTTGGCCATTTAGTTCCGTTACTGCCACATTTTCTTGACGGATTTCTTTCAAATTTTTGACAGAGATGCATTATACACACATATTGTTTTGGTGATGCTGCTCCTAGTCTTGACAATAGTCTGAGCCACAAGTGGCAATCTCTACATCATCCTTTTGTCCCTCCCTCGAACATAAGGATGACACAAAATTGCTGCCACTGCCGATTGCAATATTTCTAGTTCATGTTGAGACACAGAGATTTTCAAAAACAACTAAAAAGTAGCATTTTGAGCACCCCTGACTTTTAAATTTTTCCAGAGGAAAGTGTGTTTTATACACAGAGATTCAAGGTACATGTTATACTTTTTAAATCCGCTATAAATAGAAGTAAATTTAAAAATTTTGTGAACATTTAAACAATGATTATTATCATTATCTATCCATTGTGTGCTCAAACTGGCAAGTTCTACATCCTAACATCAGACCATTGCCATACTGATAAGGACCAGGGCCCGTATTCAATTCAATACTTAAGGACAAAATTAAAGCTTTTTACTTAGTATTTGGCTTAGATAAAATACTTAGCCAATTATGGTATTCAATTCACACTTTTGGCTAAGTATTTTACTCTAAATCTAAGCCAACTCCATACCAGACTTAAGCAAATTATTTGGAGGCCTTGATTGGCAGGCATATGGTTTTCTTACGCAGTATTATAACCTGTGCACAATTATATCAGCGTGCATTTATTGCAATGCATCAATTGCGCATTACTTTTGATTGACCGTGTGACGTCACAATGCTTATCAATAAGTATTTTACTTAGATTTTGTCTTACGTAAGTATAAGTCTAAAATGCGATTTGAATACGAGATAAGTGAATTACTTAACTTAGCCATTTACTTAGTAAATTTCTTACTTATGCTAAGTATTGATTTGAATACGGGCCCAGTGCCCCAGTTTCAATTTAAAAAAATTAAAAAATTGAAGATGTTTATAATTAGCACATTTCCCAGAACAATTTTGATTATGATCACAAAGTCTATTTAAAGAAATCAATACAAAGATGATTTCAATGTTCTACTCTATTGTCTACCTATAGAAATCATGTTAAAGTTACTATGTTACTAAGTTACTATGTTACTATGAGTATGATATCTCTTTGGGACAATCATTCCACATTTTGTGGGTTTGGCTCAATGATTTTTTATTCAGAGTCCTAAAAATATTCAAGATGCATGGGTAGGAAGAAGGAAAACACACTGTATTTATTTTTCTTGCATGACCATATCGGATGTGATGCCAAGAATTTAAAAAGGAAATTAAGTTTAACAACCCTTAAATTAGCAACACATCGAGAGGTTCAAAGTCATCATGTTCTATCAAAATTAGCCATTTTGGAACTTTTGACAAGGTTCCTGCACACAGAAATTGTTTTTGAGACAAAACATACCGGTAAATTGATTAGTACAATGTAGCAAAAAAACAAACATTATTTTTGCCAATTTCAAGAACAACATGTGATCCATTTACCCCTTTAAAAAAATACAGTTAATGCACTAGTCTATTAATGTTGCCCTCAGGTTGATTTCTTGAAAGTTTGTGATTTTGTTTTTTATAGACATGTTCAAATAAGTGCACTAAATTTATTATTAATAATGGTGTCCTACATACCCAGCAGTATCTGGTGATCTTTCTGCTGCAGCTGCTACAGCTGCTGCAGCTGCTGCTTGACGTCCAGCCAGTGTGTTGGTAGTAGCATCAGCATAATGTCTGATGGAATAGATAGGTGTGCTGCTACGTCCTGGTATGGGGCTTGTAAAGTCACTAGATACTTCTCCCATGGCTCCTAACAGCATTACAGATCTTGGTTGAATAGGACTCTCATAAACACCCTGAAAAATCAAGCAAGTTCATTGATTTTTGATTTCCTTCAATTCAATACAGATTTGTTTAAATTTTGAATTTGACAACTTTCACGAACTCTATTGACAACCAACTTCTTAAATGTTATACAATGCTTGAAGAAGTAAAGGCTGGTTGTCAGCAATTTTTGTAAGAGGAAATAAATGTAATGCCCCACAATCTGTTAAACTCAAACAGAATTAACAAAGAGTGTTATCTTTAACAACCATGGGTTACAGGCTACAAAAGAATAATATATGTGTGGCTTCCTGCCCAGTGAATGGGCAATATGTAATATACATAATATATACACTTATTTTTGCTTATATCCTCTTATTTTAATCTCTAACCATGGCTAGAGCATGTTTTAAATTTAAACCTTCTTTGTGAATTTGGGCCATTATCATTTCAAACCATGGTTTAACCCTATCTAGCCCGGGGGGGGGGGGGGGGGGGGGGGGGGCTTTAGAAGCCCCCCCCCTCGACATTTTTCGCGATAATTTTTAACGAAAGAAAATCTTGCACTGAAATTTTGTGACTTTTTTCTTTTGAGTCTTGCGCATCTTTTGAAAGAATTTGTTTTCGAAAATCGGACCTACCATTACAAAGTCACTGTTCTTTTGTCTTTGCATGTCAGCCCGAAAATCGCTCATTTTTGTGATTTGTGTACAAACCATATGGAAATCTCATTTTTCAAATAAAGAGATAAAACATTGGTTATTTGGTCTTGTTTACAGTTTAGGTGTTTATTTTGGGGTCAAAATAGTTGAAATATAGTTGGAAATGAAATGAAACAACAAAAACAACAAAATACATAAGTTAGAAAAAACAAATACATAAGAAATATCAAAACAATAGATAACATAAGGAATAACCCTAATTTTTCAATTTTTTGTGTTGTATTTTTATTCCAAATGGTCTAACAAATATATGTAGTGAGAAAGAATGCTTAAATATGAATAATTTATGGGCAAAAATGTGAATTTGATGACCTTATTTGCATAAATTACCATAAATATGCAAATGAGTGAATTTTTCAAAAAATTGAAATTACCATAGTATTCTATACACTTCACTTGACATGTATGCAAATTTTTGCGGCGATCGGTCGTTTCACAGCCGAGATCATAGGGGGGGGGGGGGGGGCAATGCAGTTTCAAAATAGCCCGGGCTAAATAGGGTTAAGCCTCCATAAGCCTGAGAATGGGTAATATTGTATAAGCTGTAATTTTCGCAAATTTTCATATTGCATATTATCGCGAATTTATCAACAAGCAAAAATATTGGCATCGCATCATTCCGGAGCGCGAAAGGCATAAAGTTATGTGCATGCGTCCTCTTGATCGCTAGCTGCTAGTAATTGCCCACCTTATTTGTAATGCAATACTGTCGCCTCCCTAGATGGATCTTCGACTGCGCACAGTTGTAAATGATGCCTCCGCCATAGAACGATTTTACAAACCAAAACAGAAGCAATTTTTAAAATTCAAGGTTTGATTGTAACCCACTAACAGGTTCTCAGAATATCATGATTACAAGCTATTTTTCATACACATGTACATGTATGACCCTTTGATCTTTGACCTCATGACCCTAAAATCTAATCAGTTCATTGGTTCTGCAAGATACATACATGTCCTGAGTTTGACAGTAATCCATCCGTTGGTTCTATTGATAATACGTTCACAAGCTATTTTTGCATACATAATGAACCCTGTGACCTTTGACCTCATGACCCCAAAATCTAATCAGTTCATTTGCTCTGCAAAAAACATACAGTACATGTCTTGAGTTTGATGGTGATCAGTCCATCGTTTGTAATGATGTGATCACAAGCTATTTTTGCATACCGGTACATTATGAGCCCTGTGACCTTTGACCTCATGACCCCAAAATCTAATCAGTTCATTGTCTCTGCAAGATACATACATGACTTAATTTTGGCATCCATCGATTGCTTCTTGACATAATGCGATCACGCGAACAGCATGTACAGCAAACCCGAAAACAATAATGGCTCAAGCTACGGTACTTTGTAGCGGAGGCATAAAAACATCAAGTTTTGACATGTCATATCTGAATGAGGCTTATTTGAGAGGAAGATAGACCTACCCTGTCCAGTTGGAACTGACTGGGATCCACTTTAGTCTCCAGGAGCTCCAGGTTATCATTACATTTCTGAAGCAGAGAAGAACTCTTCTTAGCAATAAGGTGAAGGGTTTCCCTGGTAGCCCGACAGTCTGGTGAGTCCACATCAATCAAGAGCTGGTCTGCCGTATCCTTCAAGGAACTCATACGAGGTATCATCTCCTCAAGCTCTTGTCTAAATGACTACAACAAAACATAAAGGTACTTGATATTTTCATACTGTCTTAGGTGCTCAAGAACCTTTCAAGTACATAATGCAAGTGAAAAACAACACCCATACTGAAGCTACACTATCTTAAAAACCAAGTGAAATTGCTGACATATTATGATATATCATAGTGTTTTGATTGGGTGCTCACCTAAAGGAATTTATGAATGTCTGAGCACTACCCATTTTAAAAAGAAAATCTCAAAATCACATTGCCCCGGTTGGTCAATAATGGTGTTGAGGGGGTTGTGCATTAATGCATTCAACCCAACAGAAATCATTTGAATGAACCTCTGGTTGAAAGTCACTCTATTTAAAACTTGGGAAGAGACAAATTTGATATGAATCAGTTAATACACCTACACTCCCCTATGTTTAAAAAATATTTGAGGTCGTATAGAGGACATATATGTGCTACTCCAAAATGGTCTAAAGACGAGTGTATTCTTAATTTCTTTCATAAGAGCTAAAAGTCAGTTCATGATAAAAAACCCTGACTTACAGCAAATATTCTGTATTGATTATTCAGTATCTCAGGATCAGCATTGAAATCGATGGGTTCATTCTCTGTCATAATTGTCTCAATCTCATTGAGTCTAGATTCAAGGTCCTTTGTTGTCTGATGAAACTCTTCACATTGCACAATAGCCATCTGAAAGAAACATACAAAAAATAATCTTTGGTACTCCTTTTGTCAATAACAGTCACTCCAATATTTGAGATCTAGAAAACATTTTTTAAAGAAAGCCTCAGCCTTGGAGGTGCCGTGGGCGAGTGGTTCGTTCGTTCGTGTCTTCTTAGATCAAGATTTAATCTTGATCTTCGGAGTAGTTGCTACAACCGGCCGTGTCAGACATGTTGCCCCGGGTTGCGAGATAGGACTCTTGTAGCGTGCCCCCATTTAAAACAATGATACAATAACAATTTAACGAGTGGTTAAGACGCCGGACTGTCGATCACAAGGTTCGTGGGACTAATTTCCTTTGGCAAGACATTGATCTAAATTTGCCACACTCAACCCAGGTGATGTAAATGGGTACCTGGCAGGAATTAATTCTTTGAAATGCAAGAGCGCCGTAATGGCAGCACAGCTAAAGCCGGGGTAATAATAGTTTGGAAGCGCTATATATATAAACCAAGTATTATCATTATTATTAACCCGTTCAGCTCGGGAACCGAGATTTCTCGGGCCCCTAGGTACGTACTCACAAACGGGAACCGAGATTTCTCGGGTCCGAGCAAGGGCTTCTTTTATTGCAGAAAAGTACATCTATTCACCTTCTAAATACAATATAAACTATCTGTATACAAACCTTGAACCTTTGGCTACATGCATCTCATTTTTTACCGACTGTAGATGCGTATTTTTTGTTTTATTACAAGTTTAGCATGAGAATGCATGAGTCCTCTTTCAGGATATTCGTATAGAACACATGCAAGTCAGTTTACGTTATTTTCATAGATTTTCGGAATCGCTGCTGCTAGCTAGCTGGGTCTACTATGCCTAGGACTGTGTAAGCCGGACATAATGATTTTACAGGCAGCGAATTCCACACTCGCTCTGAATACCTTTGTACACGGCACGCGCGGATACACCGTTCAATACATGAGCCTTGGCCTTATATGGTCATTGACGCCTATTCGGGCCGATTATTGAATAGCTTATAGTATATTACAGTCTCGTTCGACCTCGCGCTCTCAGTTCAGGTAATTCATGGGTACGTATACAGGGTACCGGGCCGACCTATTATTGGGGAGATTAGCTAGTCTCGATATAGTCCATCCCATTGTTTTGTTTCAAGGTTGTCGGCTATTATTTACTTATCGTGCTATAAAGTGTCGGAGTTTTACTATTTAGTTCAGCTTTTTGATTTTCATGATAGTTGGTTGCACAAATTAGTTCTCAATTCTTTGCTTATAACTGCTCTTTATCTATGTAAGATAGTTTCTCAAAATGTCTCGTCATCGGAAGAAGCCTCTTTTTAGCGTTGAAGATGCTCGAGAAGCGATCCTTGACTCGGACTCAGAAAATGAATATGATAAAATGGACTTATCAAGCGAAGAAGAGTATTCGTCGGACGTAGAAAATGAAGAATATGAAACAACGACATTCGATGATTTCTTCGAATTAGAGGGTACAGCAGAGTCCATGAATGGAAATACTCCTGTAAACCCCGCCAGCACTCGTAGTGATACCCTCGATCCATACCGAACCGACCCTGGAGTTACGGGGGACCAAGCCACAGCTGAGCCTATGGGGGGGGGGGGGGGGTAAAAAACCCGGATAGATAAGGATATGAAAATCAGATTGAATATTTCCATAAGTTATCTATAAAGCCTGTTGTCTCAAAAGTTTTTACTCCACAGCTATCTTTTACGTCATTGTATTTACATGACAATATGCTTTTCATTTTATCAATTTGACCAATTTAGCGAATCATTCATGTATGGACCTCCTCTTTTATGAAAGGCTTATCTCAGCTCCCTCAGCTGCCCCACGCTAAGGGGGAACAAAAGAATGTAAAGAAGTTACTACTCTGGAAGATTGCCGTTTTGAAAGAAGAGGATGTAGGCGTAAATAGGTCAATTTACATTACAATACAAACAACCACTCTAACTTATACACCTTTACGAGGGCATGTAACAATTTTAGAGCAGGTTGAAGTAAAATATCTTGATCAACCTAAAGCCTGTCTTGGTTTGAGCAAGCATATGAAATGTTCAAATGTTATGTTCTGAAAAACGACCCCTAACTCTTCCTCTCTCTCCCCACGGAATATTACTCTTGTCTTGAGCAACTCCGGCGGTAAAGCCACGAATATGAGACTTTTCCCGGGCAAAGATGCTACCATTGTTGAAAAAAATGCAAGGCAACATAAAACAAGTTTCTGGCAATGAAGAAAAGCGAGTGCAAGATGAAGAAAATAATTGTTATTATTATTACTATTTTATTACAATATTGTAAGCATCATCATCATCATCATCATCATCATCATCATCATCATCATTATCATTATCATGTATACATGTTCATGCCATCTACAGAACTGATCATGAAATGAGGATTATCTAAGTTTTATTGACATGATAGGTTGAACAACAGATGGAGACGAAGACAAATAAAGTGAATTCTCACGTTGTTTGCACTTCTTTCTTTATTGTTCCGTAATATAATGAATTACTATATTTTCAATATCATTTATTTTTGAATAAATAAAAGACTACCAATACTACGGCGATTAATTCCTTATTAGCCACCCCCTTCCAAAAAACAAAAAACAAACACAACAACGCGATACGGAAATAAAATACACTGAAGCACAATTCCAATTTCACGAAATTCCTGACGTATTCAGAGAGGGAAGGGGGAGGATAGAGACAGACAGACAGAGACAGACAGAGAAAGATAGATAAATAGAGAGAAAGAGAGAAAGCTGGGTGCATCGTTATAGTCTGTACTGTATTTATTTATTATTATGCTATGCTGTCTCTCCTTTCACCCCCACCCCCTGTTCTGGATTCTTCTTTAGTTTCATTTTATCATGTCTATATCTTTTCGATAAAGTATAATGTCCGACATATATTATAACCGTCAATTTAGGCTGATATACTATTTCATATTAATTGATGCAACAGAGATTTACATACAAAATTTTAGTTTTATAAATTGTGTATTTTTCTCATAAAATTGAGTATCTAAATAAAAAGAGATGAAAAGAAAGAAGAGGGAGAAGAAGAGAAGAAGGGAACAACAAGAAAAGATGCAGATGAGAAAGAAGAACAAATTAAGAGAAAGAGAGACAGAAAGAGAAAGACAGAGAGAAAGAGAGAGAGAGAGAGAGAAAGTTGGGCGCATCGTTTTATAGTCTGTACTGTATTTATTTATTATTAAATATTGTCTCTCCTTTCCCCCCCCCCCCCCCCCCGTTCTGGATTCTTCTTTAGTTTCATTTTATCATGTCTATATCTTTTTGCTATAGTATAATGTCCAACAAAATAATATTATAACCTTCAATTTAGGCTGATAAATTATTTCATATGAATATGATGCAACAGAGATTTACATTCAAATCTTTAATTTCTTATAAATTGTGTATTTTTCTCATAAAATTGAGTATCTAAATAAAAAGAGAAAGAAGAAAACCAAAATAAGAATGAGGCGAAGAAGAAGAAGAAGAAAAGATAACGAAGAAGAAAACCCTACGAAAGAGCTGAAAGAACTGAGAGGCTTGGAGCACAGCAGAGAACGACCGTGCAACGTGTTCTCGACATGACGAAGCCAGATTGCCAAATGATCTACGCATACGCAGGTTCCCGTTAGTCGAAGCCTCTGGCCGCATGAACGCACACGCATTGTGGCGCGCGCTGAGCGGTCTCACGGTACGGCGTGTTCGATTTTTAATCTCGTTTGTGAGGTGGCTATCAGGCTGAATAATGCCGAGCTGAACGGGTTAAGTGCTCAACTACACAAGTTGTTTGTCCTTCTAGAGAAGCTAGATGAAAATTATTGGTCAATTTTAGGTATGTGGGTTGGGATGTGGCTATAGAGGCCAATCCAAGACCTAGGTTTTCTTGGACAGTGAAGGCAAGACCACAGTGCCAAAGGGTCTTGGGATGGGAGTTTGTTGGTCACCTGAGTTATATGCGATGCCTGCTTGGTCTGCTGCCTGCTACACATGTCATGTAATTCATATACACAGCCAGTTTGAAAACCAGCTGGTAGCTTGTACAGTACAATGTCATAACTAACCATGGTTTTAATCTAGGGTTCATGTCACATTCTATTACATTGATAAAGTTTGGATAGGTTTGAGGCTTTGATCTAATTTCATGATATGATAGTTTATAATTCAAATGAGATATGTATCCTACACATGTAGTATGGCAAGTGCATTTGATTTACATAGTCTTTTTCACAGCCATTACTACATGTATTTATCAATGATTCTAAAGAACCTAGTGTTTTCTCCCTTCAGTACCGGTACTAGGAAGGTTCCCATGTGTCTGCATATGGGATTATACAATTTCAATGTCCTGTTAAGAACAAGACTACCAGTAAGTGAATACAAAACAAGAAAGCCTAGATCAGATCCAACAAAACAGCTTTTCAGGTCTCAAAAATAAAATTAAACAAGTTAGATTCAAAACGTACTCATATTGATGTATCAAATCATAATGTGAAAGGTTCCCTGAGAACATTGAAAATATTCTGTCTCTTAAACTTATCTCATATCATATTCATATTTTTCTTAAGAAATCAAAAATTGTTTTGATGGGGTTAGGCCTCTTTCTTCTCGTGAATTCAAGTAATGTCCAAATACTGTCCATTCACATATGTATATTGTTCCAAACAAACAAAAACATTATTGTCAAGAAGCAAGAAAAGTATATGTACCTGTAGTTTCTTCTGCCAGTCTGCAGCCTTAGCACAGACACCTTCCCACCGTCTGTTCATGACCTGAAGTCGGTAGCTGAGCTCTTGACCCTGCGGAGTATCTGGATCCACAAACTGCTGGCTACACAGATTGACAGAATATGCAATGGTACGCCTTGCACTCAGACCTAACATGAAGTCCTGATCAAGAAAACAAATAAACAGCCTCACATCAATGTTGAAAAAAATGCCTTAAAAAACAGACAGGCCTAAATCTATCTTATTATAGACCATGAGAAATGAAAATGATCTATCAATATTCTGAAGTATCAAAATATTTCAAAGTACAGGATGACAAAATATAAAAATGGATAAAATAAATGTCAGAATGTATTTATCTAAGCATAAAAGGAAACAGAGAAAATAAGTAAACCATCTAGAAGGATAAAGAAAAACAAAAACAAAGTCAAAAGAGGAAGAATGTTAGCATTTACAGACACACCAAAAGAAAGAAAAAGGGTAAGGGTATGGAGAAGAGAAAGACAGAGGCAGACATCTATACAGAGAGAGAGAGAGGAAAAAGGAGATAGAGAGGAAAGAGAGGGAGAGAGAGAGAGAGATAGCAAATGAGAAGGAGAAATAGCAATCGTACCGTGTACATTCTAATGATGCCTTCAAGATCTCCTATATCACCACTATTATCTTGTGAAGAGAGTGTAGTTTCTGCCTGGTCTAACCACATAGTCAGATTGTTCAGATCGTTATCATATTGTTGCCATGTCTGGTAGTTATGTCTTAAGATTGCTCCTTTTTCCATGAGTTCTCCTTGTAAAACCTCCCATCGACCTACGAGACCTGAAATAACAAACAAAATTTTATTCATTAGATAAAGTGCTCAAATGATCTGAAACACTAAAGCCTTTCAGTATATACATTCACTATGCCCACACTGTTGAGGTGTTGTGATATAACGGATGTGTCACTAGACGGGGGATCTCATACTTTGTGATGCAAGTCTCAGCCATGGCTCTGACAATTTTGGTAAGACACTAATATATAAATGCCATTCTTTACCCAAAAGTAATCTTGGTACCTAGTAGGAAGAATTTTTTTTAATGCTTGCACCAGGGTAAGCTGAAATAATAATATATATGCATCACCCTCAGGGAGAGAACTTCGCCCAGATCTCGAATATTAAAGCAGTTGATATGTCTTTTATATGCCGAATTGAAACAAAAATCTACCAAGAATTCTCACTTTATCCTTTTATTGAGTAAAGATTGTTTAAACATCACAGAAAATCTGAGACACTGTCTTTTAATCGTCACTGGAAAAATGATTGAAAGTTTCAATCATTTGGGAATTGCAGACAAAAAGCACTGTACGGTGTCAGAGCTCGCACAAAGACAATTTTAACACGTAAACCAATGGGGATTGCAGCATGAGGGCATTTTTTAAAAGACTATTTACTGGTATAGGCGGGTATGAGGTCACTTTTCAAAAGACTATTGAATGGTAGGTGATTATGAGGGCATGACTAAAATCACGACTGCAATTTTTACCAATCAGATGGCTAGATTTCTAAAGAGAGGTATATCATTCACTCTAATACAGACATTCTAAATCTAATGACTATGACTATTAACCCTTACTTTAATATCATAATTAACCCAAACTGACCTGAGACTTGACGTGCTAATACAGGATGATCATTGAGTTGAGGAGCCATTTTCTTTACAGCTGCTATACAGCTCTTACAATTCTCAGCTACTGTTTCCTGTAATAGGAAAAAACACCCACAAAAAGGTCATTGATGTACTGTTTATAGACCCCAAACTATGCCAGTAATTCATATGGTTAAATGCCTTGCGGTCACATTTGCGTAGGCCCATGATATCGAGAGTTACAAGCAGCGATCTGCAGTAGCCTCAGGGTCACCCTATGGCGTATTTCTATATTTTACAGGATGTAGGGGTCGCCGTATGATTATAGCACGAAGTTATAACTTTTTTCATTTCTAGGTTCGCCCTAGCAATTACACACGCCATAGCCATGCCGTAGAGCTGTTCCACAGCGACCATACGTCAAGCGTTGTTATTTGTCAAAAACCTACGGCCGCCGCAGGGACGCGTAAAGGCAACCGTGCGTCATCAATTCAAAGACCGTACAGCAGTCGCAGGTTTTCTGTCTCTATAAATTCAAAATACCCAGTGCGGCTAACCTAACATATGTGACTACTACAGTATGTGGCCATGGGAATGCAGCGAATATTGGCCATAGATATTTTAGACCCATGGCCGCGGCGGTAAATGTAACTGAGGCATAAGTTACTTGTAGCTCAAAGTTGGCTTTTGTCTACAGGCATGATCGAATGAAGACTACTAGTATACTCAAATGTTGCTTTTGCCTTATGAACGGTGCAGTCTGCTATTAAACTTGCAATAGATATTTACACAAGTTATATTTTTCAAATGCATGGAACCCCAAATGTACAGATGGAAATAATTTTATCATGATTGATCCCCCTATTTTATTTATCCCAAAGAATTTGAAAGAAATCCGTCAAGGAATGTGGTAGTTAGAGCGCACACAAGAATAGGACAAGGCGGAAGCGGGGGCAGCGGCGGCGTAACGCTGCTGAATCCAAAGTATCCTCCGGCATACTGTCGGAGGATACGATTATTACACTAGACTGTCCTTTAAACAATCAATATGCAAAACTTGTGCTTTGTACATTCCTTGATTTCATTTGCACAAATACAGGTATCCCATCCAGAACAATATAAATGTTTGACTAAAACTGATGTGCAGGTTGTGCCACAGCACTAGATGTGAGTTGGTCTAGTGGTACCGTTAGTGGTACACGCAGCTCAATGTCTTTGACTATAAACTTGCTCAGACAGACCCTGAAACTGTGTCATATCTACTGGATGGTGATATAACTGATATGAGAGGTTGGTTCAGAGACATAAACAAACATATCTAAGATACAGCAGTAAAAACTCAATCATGTGTGTTTCTGGTGTACATCCAGGAATCATATGTACCCATCAGTATCTTATTAAATGTTTGAGGACATGGATATTTTCATCATAACCAAGCAAGGACCTTTGTTTTTTGTTTATAGAGCACCTAAATAAACTTACCCCTACCTGAAAGGGCCACAAATTTTGAACAATTCACATTGTTCTAACCATGGACGTCCTTGTTTTGCGAGTGGTTATCAAAGTGAGGATACAGTTATTTTGTATGTCCTCGGTACCCACGTATCCACAACCACACACATGCAGAACTTAGAAATCCACAAGGTATGACTCTAATCGGAGGGTAAACTTACAAAGGCTGTTTTGATTTTGTCAACATCAGGTCCAATAGGTGTCTTACAGGTGACCATATTCTCTGCTTCCTCCAGCTGAGATGTACAGCTATCAATCAGCTGTTGAGCATACAACACATCGATAGGCTCTCCACCACGATGTTTGTTCTTACCCCACCTAAGAAAAGAGATCAATACCATACAAAATAATAATAATATTATGGGTTTACGGTATATAGCACTTAATACATCAACAGTGTTTCTAAGCACTTTACAAATATACTATTATCTTGGTCATTGGATTCAGGCTTTTTCCGCACACATTGTTGGAACATTCTCCACTCCCTGGGGAGCATTCCAGCCAGGTGCCAATTTAGAGATGCTCACAATCCTGAACAAACTACAAATACTTTGGCATCCTACTGGGTATCTATGTAACACCTGGGTGGAGAGTGGTAAATGTGGATTAATGTCTTGCCAAAGGATGACAGTGCCAAGGTGGAGTTCGAACCATAAAAATATAAATTTTAAGGACTACTTGAATCTTGTTGAATTACTGTAACCCCTTCATTCCAATAAAATCATTAACTCTTTCTTCTTAAAGTCCCCAGAAGTATTTGAAGTCATTTATCGAGCATCATTGGGCGTGTTCACACCGCAAGGGGGGACCGTGGGCGGACCGTGGATCGCGCTATCGTAGCGCGACCCACGGTCCGTCCGCCCATTGGCATTCGCCGGATCCACACCGCAGTGAGATAGCGCGGTCTATCGTAGCACCCCCTATTTTGAGAGGTCCTGTTGTCATGACGCGTGACGTCATGAGGTCAGAGCGGTCAAAGAATTCGCGCGCTATTACGAACTAGGAGTGTTGAAAAGGCCATTTTCGTAATGTAACCAAATTTAATGCATACGTCTTTGTGAAGTGCCTCAATACAAATTATTTCATTCACCTGATAAGAATAATAGTATTTCAATAGACAGAATCCAAACTGCATACATTAGTTGTTGTCAGGTTGGACAAGCATTATGGCTTGACCTACCTATATAGCAACATTTAATATATGCAGTTGCATTCTGACTATTGAAATACTATTGTTCCTATCAGGTGAATGAAATAATTTGTATTGAGGCACCTCACAAACACTTATGCATTAAATTTGGTTACATTACGAAAATGGCCTATTGTACCGATTCAGATTCAGATCGCACCAAAATAGAATGAGTATAAAATTCCCCGCGTGTAGAACGATTAAATCCGGCGTGCTATCGTAGCTCGGGTTCACACCGGCAGAGATAGCCCGGTCTAGAGCGCGCTAGACCGCGCTATCTCTCGTGGACCACCCCCAAGAGGTGCTCCAGTGTTGGCTCGACGTGGCTCGCCGTGGCTCGCTGTTGGGCGGACCAAAACGACGTTGTACCTTCCACACCGCAGAGATAGCGCGCGCTAGACCGCGCTATCTCTGCCGGTGTGAACAGCCTCATAGAAATGTTACAGTAAGACCATCAGGAAAAACAATATGAGGTTGCACTGAGTAACTAAGCACATTTTTGTATTATTAAGTCAGGACAAACATGTATCTTCTGCCTCTACCCTATTAAAATCCTTTTCAATGATTTAAAGAGAAGGTTGAGTTCTGGGGAGAGGTGACAAATAAATTGTGAGCGTAATCATTGTTATTATTAAAGTGTGAAAGAGCATCAGGGAAAAAAATGATCCCTGAAAAGCATGGCTCTTCATATACCTTCATATTCTAAATGTAAAAGTAAAAGATTAAAAATGAGGCCTGATTTTTATGCCACATGTTTGTGTAGTCCCATATTCATTTTTCTGTGCACAGTGCTTGTCACTATACCAAGACTGGGCCAAATTTATTATCATTTTGATGACTGCAGAACCTTTCCGACACACCCATCTTTATATGCTACATGATCATATTTTCCTGACAGATTCTACATCGTTTCTTTCACAATGCAATCGCATGACCAGAATTGAACTTTATCTTTAAAGAAGAGGCCATATGTTTGAGAAAAATCTACAAATTGTTGATAATCAAGATATTATTTTTCTATCCATTCTATTTTGGGATGGCAAGCCATCATCATTTGTCTCCTTGCCTTCTAAAAGAGTTAAAGAGGTTTACCTGACATCTGGTTCTCCATCAGCATTGGTTGTCATGTACTCATCCCAGTCTAGAGATGATACACCACTAGCTGGAGTAATCCTGCCTGAGACATATTCACTCGGTCCTGGTGATGCTGAACGGGTTGCGGAGCTGCCCCTAGACCTGGCTCTTGCATCGTAGGGTCTTCGGTGTACTCTGCTTGGTGATAGATGGGTTGGAAGGATTTCATCATTGTCGCTCTCACTCATAGGCTCACCTTCATTGTCTTCTTCATCTGATGAGTCAGTACTTGAGAACTGGATGGAGGTCAAATATGAAATTAATCAATTCATTTTCTATAATACAGTCATGGTCAAGAAAATTGAATTGTAATATTGGTCTGTATTCTGGAACTCATAAAAATGTCATCAGCTAGTTGTATCAGGGGTGATAGTGAGCACTAAAAAAATAATAGGTTTTTTGTTTTCCCCTCAACCACGCCCCCCTTGAGTAAAAAAAAGAAGAAGAGGATTCGCGGGAAAAATGGCATCTAACAACATTCCCCCCTTTCGAGTAAGAAAATTGGGGGAAAATAGGGCAAAATAGAGAAAATACGGAGGAGGAATTAAAAAAAAAAAAAAAAATTAAATCGGGAAGAAGAAAAAAAATCGGGAAAAGGTTGGGAAAAAATTAAATCAAGGGAAACGCTCTCAGCGGTCTCACCTGCATAACGCAATTCAATAAGATAAACCAGAACGTCAATGACGTAGCGCTCATCCGCATCTCGCAACAACAAATATCGTAAATTTTATGTGGTACACTTTTGAACTGGTCAAAAATTAAAAATTTGATGCCCTGGAAGGGACATAATTTCATTTCATTTGCATAAAGTACCATAAATAATCAATGGAGCAAAATCTCACAATTCTGTGTAGAAGTTAAGTGTTCCAAATTTAGCTCTACCAGATAAGGCTAACCAAATCAAAATCAGTCAAGAAATGAGGGAAAAGAAGCAATTTTTTGTTATTTTTGGAATAAATTTGCATAAATTACCATAATTAATTAATGGAAACCAATTTCAAAATTCTGTGTAAAAGTTTAGTGTACCTAAGTTAGCTCTACCATATAAAGCAAACCAAATCAAAATCGGTCGAGAAATGAAGGAGAAGAAGCCTTTTTTGTGATTTTGAATAAATTTGCATAAATTAGCATAGATAATGAATTTCACGATTCTGTGTAGAAATTTTAAATCCCCCTCCTAGCCCTATCATATGAAACAATCAGAATCAAAATCGGTTGAAAAATAACGAAGAAGAAGCATTTTGAAAATCTTGATGTTGATGCCACAACAAAGTCTAAGTTTGTTGACCTTAAATGACCTTTGACCTTAACTTGGTGACCTGAAATTCTACTCACATGATTGGGGAGACTTGATAACCATATAGTCCAAGTTTCATTGACTAAGAACTTATACTTTCAAAATTATATCAAAAATTCAAAAACTTAACCTTAGGTTAAGTTTTCGATGATGATGCTACAACATAGTCCAAGTCTGTTGACCTGAAATGACCTTTGACCTTGACTTTGTGATCTGAAATTCTACTCACATGATTGGGATACTTGATTACCCTATAGTCAAAGTTTCATTGACTAAGAACTTATAATTTAAAAATTATATCAAAAATTCAAAAACTTGTCGCGAACTGGCCTCCGAAGAGGTGTTCCTCTGACGAGGGCACCCCCGCCAACACATGGGTACGTCCCTCTTGAGAACCCCTTAGGCGGATGTTCGTCGCCTGGGCAGCCCCAAAAGAGAGCTGTGTCCATAGCACCTGAGTGACAGCCAACAAAACCTCATCTAAGATCGACTCATCAGCCTCAGAAACAAAAAATCTCCCGCGCCCTGACTCTTAAGGACAGAAGCGACCCCAGGTAGGCCGTCAACCTCATGCCTGACCTAGCATGTGCTTCACATGACCATACTGGCCTATCTAGAGTCTGAAACGTACTGCTTTTAAAATTCATGCCCAGTCTTCCCGCCAAATGTGTCAAATCTGGTGAAAAAGATTTGGGCTCAAAGAAAGCCACAGTGTCTGGAGACCTGAACGCAAAGTCCTTGAGTACCAGCTTAGCCTGCTGAGACGACTCTGCAGCCACACTATATGCTGCCTTAAAGTCTTTTGTTAACGGAATCCCTTTCGAGGGAGTATCCGAGCGGAAGAAACTCGCATTCTGGACTCCTTCCGACTGGGTCAGAGAGAAAGTCCCAGGCAGGTACTTAGCAAGCAGTGCCTGAGCGTTTGTTGCCAACCCCTGCGGTACCTGGGGGCCACACTAGCTACGGATTCAGAATCAGAATCCGCATCCAGGTCCCCAACACCCATTCAGTCGGGAGCCTGGCCCCCAGGGAAAAAATTAAGTTTTTCATTTCGGGGGCTCCATTTCAAATTTCGGGGGCTTTTTTTTCCATTTCAGGGGCTCTTTTTCTGGGGCTACTTTTTCATTAATTCATAAAAGGATACAGTTTGTTGAGATTTGTTTAGTATGGTAGGCTAAGGTTTCGGGCTTCCTGAATCCTGCTTCATAATTGCCTATTAAAAAAATAGTTCAATAACTAAGTTTTTATGCATTGATCTGATGCAAGAACTAATAGACCCTAGATTGCGATTATTTCTGGTCATGAATTTCGATAATCATTTTCAAAGTAAAATTTTCACAAGAAATTCAAAAAGTTGTTTTAAAACGTAGACATTAGTTATACTTTTATTAATTCTAAGCTCAGGTTTCATACATCTATTCACGAAACTATATTGAAATTGCGGCAATAATGATGCAAACCAACAGATAGTAATTTCAAAGTGTCAAATCTCTTCGACTCAAGCTCAGCTCAGCTCAGCTCACACACACACTGCACTGTACTGCACTGTATTGTACGTGTGTCAGTCATGGTGATTTTGTCAGATTTTCTTTACGTTGAAGAATGATTATCAAAATTCAGTATCAATACCGAGAATAATCACAAAATAGGCTTTAATTTCATACCTCTATTCACAAAAACTTTATAAAATTGCGTCAATCGTGATGAAAATTGATTGCAGTTTCGCGATGTTTAGTGGTCTAAGTTCAGCTAATATGATCTATCAAAACAAAATCGATCGCCAAAAACTCGGCCCCTACGATCCGTCTCGATCTCGCAACCACAAAAGTGTACGTGTTTTGGTTTGAAGAGCTGGGGCAGTATGATATGATGATGGATGTATGGGGAGGAAAAAATCCCACAGACTCCAGAACTGCCGCCGGTTTGTGAGGAGCCGCACGAGCCAAACGATTTGTCAACTGCCGAGGTTGCTCGTACTGTAAAAACCAGAGGACGAGAACCGGGGACAGGACCGGCTGGACCGGATACCCTACTCCTAAATGCAACGTTTGGAACCGGTAAACCGGAACAACCAAAGAATCGGTTTGAGATGGTAAACCGGATGAAACTGCTAGACCGTTACAACTTGTATTTGATAAAACAATGTTAAATTGTTTTTCATGTGAAGTCAATTCAAATGGATTATAAGATTGGAATGATTTGTTAAATCATATTCTTTTTCATGTGATGTTAACTCCAATTAATTGTGAAATTGTGAAATTGCATGCATGCATAAATAAATAAAGATATATACATATATACATATTATAATTAAGGAATTGTCTTTCATTTTGAATTCTCATATTCTGCTCATAGTGAGTACAATATGAAAAAATCAAAGTAAGAAATGCTAAAGTGAAGTAATGGACCATGGCAAAAATAGAAATGTAGGAAAAGGCAGAACAGGGCAAATTTACATGAAGCGTAATATATGCAACATGTTTAGATCAGCAACTTTGTCAAAACCAGATTTCTTTGCAAAATACATGAAAGAAAAAATAATGAATAACAAAATCATATGTATTCCACACACATTAAATGATTACATGAATAATAAAAAGCAATACGCTCTAAGTAACAAAATTTGTAAGTGAACTTACAATAACTAGATATTTTCAACTATAAAAAGAAAACTTATCACATACAACTTCACAGCAAATACTAAAATGGCACAATACTCATATTATCAGCAATACATTACAGTGCCTTACAAATTAATGATAACAAATAGAATATAAAAAAATCATAGGCACAGAAAATTGAGAAAACAGAGAAGAGAATTTTAAAACAACCTGACAGGATACAAACATTTAGAAAAGCATGAAATGATGAATGTAGTCTGCTCTGTTTCATATAAAATACCATAAATGGCTATTAATAAATATCTTTCCTCTAGTAAATAAAAACCAGAAGACATGAGAAGTCATCATGTATAAACCATGTACCCATAACTTGTGAACATAAAATCATTTGTTTTGTGCTACTAGAAAGAAGAAGGAAGCATATAGGAACACAACTTGTTGACTAGAGGAACATTTGGATGAAACACTGATATGACAAGTTGACATTCATACCTTGGTATTACCAACCATGAAATAATCAAAGGGTATGGCAGAAGAATCTCCCTATTTATCAGGCAGCGATGGGTTCAAGAAAACATAACAATTCTGTTTAGAAACATGGATGATTAGTACATGATTACACCATGTACAAGAGAGAAAATGTTGTACATGTATACGATGCAGGTTTTGTACAGTTGAAGGTATAGCAGCTTTTCAGCATCAATGGCATGCTACAATATTTTTACATTCATGTACAAACAAACCATCTAAATGCAAAACAGTCCAGGCCTGATATTTTTACAAGAATGGGCTCTCTTTACATCTTCTGCTTGACAAAGAGAGTGAATCCACGAGAAAGACATGAAGTGAAAAAGTGTTAGAGCATTATTCCACTGCACACATAACTCCAAACATGATTGGAATTGAAATGATCTTCGTCTACTTTTAAGAATCAGAAATCAGTTGTCATCTCTAGAGATTATTATGCAAGTTGCATCATATGTGTAGACTACGCAAAGAGCTAAAGATAAAGACATCATGACATCATTCCTGACAAAGTGAAATGCACTGATTCTACTTCCTAGATCTTAAAAATTAGATTTTTGTCAAAGTTTAGTTTAATGTGAAAGTTTACATAATGTGGTATGAAGAATGAAAGACAGTAAAGAGGAAGCACAATTGTAAGATGTTATAAATAATGTTATGATAATGCTTTAAATTAGTTCAATTTGAAGCTCATTACCTCAGTAGCTGTAATCCTCTCAAGCTTTCTCTGGAATTTGCTGACCCTTGCAAAGACCTCATCAGCATAGCCTCTGAGATCATCCATTTCTTCCTGTATCTGAGCAGCATCATTGGCATCACAACGTTGCATCAGGTTACGAGCATACCCATCGATCTCATCTAACCTAGATTGGTTCAGCTCTATCTCATGTTGGAATGCCTAGTAGAACGTAACAAGACATAGGGAGAAGTAATATCATTGTAAGTCAAAGGTACTTGGTAATTTTGCATGTTAACATGTATTGTGGAGTTCTGAACATAAACTGACATCATGTGTCATTTCCCATTCATATTTGGTCAGATCAAAGCCCTAGTGGTGCTATCAACTGAATGCAAGGATACTATGATCAGATATACTCAATCTTAGATGTGATTGGTAACACATGGGGCAAAATAGCTTGGACTTAATAGTAAACTTAAAACTAAGAACTTTGAATATGACCTTTTCTCCGTTTTAGGGTGTTTTTTTTTAATGTGAACTATTATTTTGAAGAAATATTGACTAAATCAGTTTTCTACATTGAAATTAAAATTGATTATAAAGAGGAAATGTTAAGCTTGAGAAACAATAACCTTTGGGCATTTACATTCTATAACAAAAATAACTTTCATAATGCAAACCAATGATAACGACTTATATCAGTGTTGTCATTAAATTGTTGATTAAATTTTACTTCAACATACCAGTATACAATTTTTCATGAAGTCACACAAGTTCTGAGTAAATACAGTCAATCCCGTATAAACTGAAGACCACCAATGAGAGACACGAAAAGTAGTCTTTTTAGGCAGGTTGATTTTATAGACAGGTTTACTTTTCACACATGTTTCAGTTAGAAGCATAATTTCAAGCAAACCCAAAATGTTGTGGACTGGTAGCCTTTATATACAGGAGGATGTTAAAGCAGGTTTGACTGAGTTTAAAGCTTTGTAATTCAAAGAATTGTGGAGTCCTGACTAACCTTCATTTGTTTGGTCTTGGTAGAGATATCTGACTGTGAAAAGTGTTCTATATTGGTTAATTGAAGGTCCATCTCTGTCAGCCACACCACCATACTCTCTCTTGTCCCTTCAAACTCGTCCCTCAAACCTTGTTGAGAGCGTAGACGACGTAGAACGCTGCAACATCTTCGGGCTAATGCATCCCATCTAATGACATAAAAATATTTTTAATTCAGTTCAAATAAGGGTTCATCAAAAACACGCTTGGTAGTAAAGAGGCAGCATTGACCATTTTTTAAGTTGATCAAAATATACTGTCAATACATAGCAATAATACTAGAACATGTAAAATAGAAAAGTTACATACAATGAAATAATTGATAAAATTGAAAGTTATAGGTGCTACAAGTCACTGATTTGTATCACATTTCTGGAATAAAACAAAGAGATTAATAATACATGCTGTCTTCAGAACATAAAAATTTACATTTTTCTCCAGCTGTTGATAAAAATGTGTAAATGTTTTACAAATATGTTGTATGGCCAACAGATTGTACAAAGAAGTTAGTACTACATGAATGAAGTTCCAGGAGTGTCATATTTGACAGACATGAGAAATAAAGAATCCACTATAATTATTATTATGTATAACACACTAATATTGACTGTTAGAGGGGCAATCTTGAAATTTTTGCCTGAGTGTTGATCTTAAAATTGAGCTATGCTCCAGTCTTGATATCAAGTAAATATTTTAATATTTCAATATTTTAACTTTGACCCAAATGTAAATACTCAACAGTTCTTTCATATAATAAATTAACAGATGTGTTTCTACCTATCATTGGCAGTGTGGACAAGACCCCTGAGTTGATTAGCACCATCTGTTCTGCCCTCTCTTGCCAGACGGCGATATTGCTTGTTCAACATCTCTAGCTGGGCTAGGTTCTCATGAACCTTACGCTGGAATGCCTGATAGAGAACAATCAAATGAGTTGTTAAAACCAGTTTATCACATACAGGGAATAGTCAATATAACAAGGCACTTTTTATGCCTCCGCAACCAAATAGCCAGAGGCATTATGTTTTTTGTGTTGTCCGTCCATCCGTCCCGTTCTTGTGATCACATTATCTCAAGAACCAATTGATGGATTTCCGTCAAACTTGGGTCACAAAGTCAAAGGTCACAGGGCTCACTATGTATGCGAAAATAGCATGTGAACCGATGGATGGATTACTATCAAACTCAGGACATACATGTATGTATCCTGCAGAGCCAATGAACTGATTAGATTTTAGGGTCATGGGGTCAAAGGTTAAAGGGTCATACATGTACATGAAAAATAGCTTGTAATCACGATATTCTGAGAACCTGTTAATGGATTACAATCATACCTGAATTTTAAAAATTACTTCAGTTGTGGTTGGTCAATTCGCTCTATGGCTGAGGCATCATTTTTGATGGCGCGCAGTCGAAGATCCATCTAGTTTCTTTTTACATTGATGACATATTCTATCTTCTAATAGTAATGCTAGAAGAAGTTAATGAAGAACTATTAAGTCCCTGCAGTGGCCGATCTCATAAGGGCATGGGGGCATGTGCACCTCATCAAAACCACAAAGAGAGCAAACACGTAAGAGAAAACAGGTACAAAAGTGTAGTGTTTATTTGCTAATGAGGGAGAAACTTTGTTGTTGCAAAATTCATGTAAAATATTTAGAGAACTATGTCACATTGCAAGAAATTCCTGAACCGAACACTGCATTGGTTGTGGTTGTAACAAGCAATCAAACTTACTTCATATTTCTTGATTTCTTCTTTGATGATAATGTATGGTGTACAGGATGTGTTGGGAGCAGCAATGGCTTGCTCACTCTTTTCTAACCAGTCAGCAAATCTCTCATAATCCTCTTTGAACTTCTGCCATAGACGCCATGTCTCCTCGATCCTGTACAGAGATGGTACATATACATAGAGGGCATTCTTAATTCTTAGTGAGAAGTACCTACATTCATGTGCAATATTTTAAAACAATCAAAAGTTCAACATTAATAGTTGAACATGGAATTAAGGTACAAAGAAATTTGAAGAAAAAAATGTCCATAGACTTGTTTGCAAACCTTGGGCTTAGTACTCAAAAAGTGAAAGCTAACACTTTTAACTAGACATTTTGACATTTTGAACTCGGCAGAAAATCAAGGCCAAAGCTGAATCATTGCAATTACTTGAGTGAATTTTTGCAACAACAAAAAAGTTTATGTCAAAACAAATTTTTATTATCATTTGATATGAATGTGTAAAATAGCTGCTAAAGAAGTAATATTGAAAACTTCAGGAGATAAAATTATAGAACATGAATTTTCAGGCATTTTAGTGGGTGTAGAGATTGCACTTTAACTGTTGATACTTCATCACTGTACAATGCTGAGTCTGCTATAGTGCCAAGCTAGCCGGACCCACTTGGGTTTGCATATGCTTGAATGCAATATTAACACTTTGGTTGTTTCTTCAAGTCTCTGCAAGGTTGCTGGTTTGTAACACATGAAGTTTTGCACGAAGCAATAGGCACCAAATGGGGAAGGAATGTTGTGTGTAACTCAATGGATTTGCAAAATAACCCATTTACGGTCTTGATTAGCTCCAGGATAACCCTAGTATAGATTAATTTTGCACTGGAAATAGTTAAATAATCTGGAAGCATTTGGTATACCTACCGGTATCCCATGATAACAAAAATGTGGCACAGGGAGATTATTATTGTGTCCTACAAAGAGTTAAGAAAGAGCATGACAAACCTCATCTTTCTTTCAGCAGATAGAGTACAGATGTTATGCCATCTTTGATCTAATGTCTGAGTGGCTGTTCTAATTGCTTCACAGTCTGCATCTGTTGAGCAGGCATCTTGATCATGAAGAAGCACTTCACAGAGGTTTAGTACTGATGCTACCCCACTGCTGTGTCGGGTTATATCTTTATGAAGTTCCTGATATGGAAGAGGAAGAAGTTTTTTCATGTTATATGCAATAAATAAGGAGGTAATGATTGGGAAAATTAAATATCATGAGCAAATAGCACGGTTATACTAATGTACTGCTCTGTCAAAGAAGTGCTTAAATAGAATACACAAACATAGAAAAACGGTCACAGAGAACAAATTATATGTAGATTGTATCTAGATTTGATAAATGGTCAGAACTTTCAAGCAATTCAACATCACTATATACAGAGTACATGAATCTGTATACATGTAATAAGAAAAATAGTGCTAATTACTAAAAAGTGTTTTTGCTCACTTCTTCAATTCAAGAAACACATTAATGATGCTGGTTGTAAGTATCGGCTTGCATGGTGCATGGTGCATTTGCAAGCCTACTGTACACATTAATGATGTTAAAAGGATTGGGTAACTTTGCCTCAGATTCTAGAAAAAATCCTGGATTTAGCTCATGCTGCAATCATAATTATAAACCTTTAGGTCATACCGGTACATGAATCCCATAACTTTTACAAGCCAATCGCCTGTCTGATTATCAAGATATCTACGATTGGAATTAGAAATGTCAGAATTTGTTCTCCTAACGGGAAAACGAGTATGGTAAAACTGGTCAATCAAAGATTTTTACTTGTTTTGAAACACTGGGCTTCAATATTACACCATATCACAGACACTGATAATACGTAGGGCCATGCATTTCAGATTTAACAATTATTAAACGATACCTTTAAGGTCCACTTTCTATTTTTTTTAACAAGTGAGTTACATAGGGACAAAAAAGATGTGTCCCAGTACACATTATTTAGTTAATCTATCAGGCGATTTGACATCAAGTTAATGTGTGCAGGTCTTAGGCCTTGGGTGGTTCAAAAGGGCATAGCTATCTTGGTATGTTTTACTTCCTACAAAAGAAAAAACAAACAAAAATTGAATTTGTATCTTCAGCTGGGATGGAAACCATTAAGCCATGAGTATATGGAGGAAGGTGAACTGAAAGGCACCTTTGCATTTTACACTAGACACATTTTTCAATTACTATTGCATTGTACTAGCAGCAAAAAGAAACAAACTTAAAGATCCTCCATAATCTAATACTGAATCTGTCTTGCTGTTCATGTTTGAGCCCACAGAAACTTGTTTTAGTATGTCTCACAAATGATAATCACATAGAATTATTCTAGCATGGCTTGCTGGCCCTACAGGCCATAGTACAGTCAGGTGGGGAATTCCGATTACCATGCATAAACAATTTTAAAGGTTTGCAAGTAGGATATTTGAACCACGGACCTCAACTTGACTGAATTTATACCAGCCAGGTGATGACACGTAATATTCAAAGAACAATTAAACAAATCACACATTTGATCATTCTACAGGGTATTTTAAGTTTTATAAGCTCTGAATTTAAGAAATGGGACTTGAAGCAAGTTCATGGGAGCAATAAAATTGTGAGATCAGTGTTCAAATGAAGAATCAAGAAAAACAAGATAAACAAAACTCATATCAGAAGAGAACTTTCCATTATGACCAAAGTTATGTGATTGCTAAATATCTCTTGGAAGAAGGGAAATCAATTCAAGTCTGCTTGTTTACGAGCATGAAAAAACTAGTAGATGCTGATCGACTGCACGTCGAAAATGATGCCTCCGCCATAGAGTGATTTTACAAGCCAGAACAGAAGCAATTTTTAAAATTCAAGTTTAATCCATTAACAGGTTCACAGAATATCATGATTAAAAGCGATTTGTCATATACATGCATGACCCTTTGAACTTTTACCTCATGACCTTAAATTACTTCATTGGCTCTGCAAGATACATACATGTCCCGAGTTTGATAGTAATCCATCTGTCAGTATTGTCAATTCGTTCACAAGCTATTTTTGCAGACATAATAAGCCCTGTGACCTTTGACCTCATGACCCCAAAATCTAATCAATTCATTAGCTCTGCAAGATCAATTGGTTCTTGAGATAACCAGATCACGAGAACGGGATATATGAACGGACAGCCAGAAAACGTCATTCCTCCGGCTACTGTAACTTTGTAGCAGAAACATAACAAATTCACTTCCAAAACCCTTGCATTGCAACTAATTTCCACTAAATTGAAATATGTCCTTTTTATCTATACAATCCTAATTCAAACTAATTATAACTTAGGTTTCATTCCTTGCAATATAAAGTGCAGGTTCATGTGTTCCAACAACTAGGCCCTTCTTAAATAACTGTATCATTTCTTGTTATTCTGACCTCCTGATGGCCTCTTGCAGTATGAAATGTAAAGGCTGCACAATAGGTCAAACCCATACCAATCTGTCAAGCATCAATAGTTCTACTACTTGTAGACCCTACTTCTTAGCTAAGTAGTGTTGTTCTAGACCCTTTGTTCCCACATACTTCAGAGGGTGGCTTTCAAAAGAGCTGGAATTTGAAAGACCCTTTGGATTCACAATACCTGTCCTGTGAGCTTGGGCTTTGGATGAATGGAGGGATTTTCAAAAAAGGCAGATTTCCTTTCAATTGTGTTTTTTTTTTTTTAGATTTAATGGTAAGTGGTATGGGAAGGAAATGGGAGAAGTGCCCCAAAAGTCCTGTGGACATAAATCATGTCCGTTATTTTGAAAAAGCTAGAGAAATCATAGGGTTGTTTAAGTCCTGTTTAATGGCGCGATTCTGCTGCTTTTTAACATCGAAGGTACACTCTACTATCTGATCCCAAACTTGCAGGGGAGAACGATGGTACGTGCATCTTCTAAAATTTCAAATACATTTTGCAGGGTTTTTTCTTGTGTAGCCTAACGTTTTTTCTCTATAATATTAACTATTCTTATCTACTGATGACATCTATAATCTATAATAAACTAACAATTCTGTTGGAGGAGTTTCTTTTCTGGTTCTTCCGAGCACTGAGGCACTAATACTATGATATTATTAGTGTGTTTGTCAATGCAATGCATGCAGTGTGTACGTACGTACACAGTACATGCATTCTAGTCATTATAACGTCACGATCACATCACCATGGTACCAGCACGTGCACAGCTAGCTGTGCGTGTTAATTTACTTATCCGGAGCGCGCACGCATGCGCATCGGTTCTATCGTCAGAATTAATGCCTACTGGGCATGCCCAGAAGTCGTGACTAAAAGTTAAACACGACTTGCGCAAAACTTAAACAGTTGTTTAGTTAATAATAATAATAATAAATTTATATAGCGCAGCTTTTATACAAAATATATTCAGCTGCGCTGGTTAAGAGCTCCTTTTTACTAAATTCTACAAAATAAGATCACTCAGTTGAACAAATAAGTTTTTAAATTAGATTTAAACACATTGAGAGAAGGAGTGCTTCGTATTTCTATTGGCAAGCTATTCCATAGTTTGGGGGCAGCAATAGCAAAAGCACGGTCCCCAAGAGTTACTTTAGTTTTGCCATGGGGAATCTGAAACAATAATTTATCTGTGGAACTGCGCAGGCTACGACTGTGTGATTGGACTTTGAGTTGAAGTAATTCTGTGATGTAATTAGGGGCTTGACCACTCAATGATTTATAGACAATTAACAATATTTTGAATGAGATTCTTTGACGGACTGGCAACCAGTGGAGTTCTCTCAGAAGAGGTGCGGTTGAAGTGAATTTCGACCGACGATAGACAAGTCTTGCACATGCATTTTGGACTTTAGCTATCAGAGAATCAGGCATTCCAAACAGCAACCCATTACAATAATCAAGCTTACTTGTGATAAGAGCATGTACAACCAATTTCATACTTTCTTGATCAATATATAAAAATAGTTAAACACGACCTAGACAGGACTTAAACAGTTGTTTAGTTCGACGAGACTTAGACACGACTTCAGAATACAAAATTTAGTTAGACAGGACTTCTTCTTCTTCTTCGCTATAAGTACAGGCCACCGTCGGGTGTATTCTCGTACTGATGTAGGTGCTGTGCAGGTGTATACATACATGTAGTGTCTCAATAAAAGGTCTACAAAGAGCTTTGTGCAGTTAAAAAGACATTCGTAGCTTAACGGAGCTGGATCTTGAGTACCTCTCTCTCTTAAAGCTTAGCAGAGAGGTACAGGTGACGGCGGCCTGCGGTAGTGAGTTCCATAGACTTAGACACGACCTCGCGTCTAAGTCGTGTCTAACTAAACAGTTGTTTAACTTTAGACATGGCTAAGTTAGACAGACTTCAGAATACGGGCCCATATGTGAACTGAAAAATGAAATGGATGAATTATATATCAACAGAAAGCTTAATTATGAGCCATAGATTACAATAATATCATTTTTTTACCCTCAACCATGCCTCCCTTGAGTAAAAAAAAAAAAAGAGGTTTTTTGGGGAAAATGGCATCTCACGACATTCCCCCCTTTTGAGTAACAAAAATTGGGAAATAATAGGGATTAAAAAAAAGGAAAATCGGGAGAAGAAATTTTTTTTTTTTTAAATCTAGAAAAACGAAAATCAGGAAAAAATCCAAACAAAATCAGGAAACCGATTTAAATCAGGTTTTTATCAGGTCTGCATATTACACTTGTAATCCTAAAAGAGCTAAACAGTCAATAGAGGACCATATTACCCTCTCATGAAAAAGCCTATGGACTTTAGGTGTTAAAATATCAGTAAATTTAGTCTCATATTTTCATTTTCATTGCCCATCTATTACGCGTATATGAACCTGTGCACTTCGCGCGCACTCTATTGTGACGTAATAATCACACCAAAGGCACACTGTTTGCTGTGTATTGAAAAAAAATTCAAGCACGTCGCCTCATGTGAACGATTGGATCCACATTTATGTCGTCACTGTAACTTCATCAAATTTGACCCCTGTTGACCCGTAATTTGGAAGATTGCGGAAAATGAGGTTTTAATTTGCTTTTGTGCAGTATAAGGGTAAATACCTTTTAATTCCTTATGTATTCTACATTCATTCAGTTTTCCATTTATATCAAGTTGCATTTTCATCGGAACGGGTCTTTAACTAAACTAGATGGAACTTTGACTATGTGCAGTCGAAAATGATGCCTCCGCCATAGAGCGATTTCACAAACCAAAACTGAAGCCATTTTTCAAATTTAAGTTTAATTGTAATCCATTAACAGGTTCTCAGAATATCCTGATTACAAGCTATTTTTCATTTACATGTATGACCCTTTTATTTTTGACCTCATGACCCTAAAATCGTATCAGTTCATTGGCTTTGCAAGATTCATACATGTCTTGAGTTTGATAGTAATCCGTCCATCGGCTCTAAAAATAATGCGATCACAAGCTATTTTTGCATATGTCATGAGCCCCATGACCTTTGACCTCATGATCCCCAAATCTAATCAGTTCATTGGCAGGAATCCATCAATCGGTTCTTGAGATAACGCGATCATGAGAATGGGACGTACAGGCGGACGGACAACCCAAAGTCATAATGCCTCCTAAAAAGAAAGATGAGCACGCCTAAGCTTCTTGTGGCATAGCTATCTTGATTCATTAATAAATTGAACACTAATAAATCATCTCCACAAAAAAAACCAAGCCTCAATCATCAAACTCACCTCATGAAATTTCTGTTTGGTTTCTATCTCCAGCATATGACATGTCTCATATGTGAGAGGAGTGTTGAGTTCCCTTTCCACTCTACTTAGCCATTCCCTGAGGTTACTCATGTCCTGCTCTAGCTGCTGAACAGCAGTCAGGGTGTCTTTCAACTTCTTCACTCTGAAAAATACATGTTCAAGTAGAAGCACATTAATGACAGATTTTTCATTATAATGACATCCATTTCTATTTTGCATCAATATACAGTCCATGCTTGGCTTTTAAAGAAATATACCTAGCATCTTGTTAGATGTACATTCTTGAACTGATGCATAATAAAAAAGAGCTAGATATAGTGAACTGAAGGAAAAGCAAAAGTGATGTTTCATAATATCAAAAAAAGAGTGCAGGAATTTATTTCAATGTACATGTATATTAAAACTATATTTACGATGTACAGTTGTATTTCTTACTATATTATAGTGCAATACAATGTCTAGTTCATTTTTTTATAATGTTGATATAGTCCGAATTTTTCTATTAATTTTTGTTACTTTGTTACTGATTTAAATCAATCAATATATAGGGATGAAAAGAAAATGGAAAAACAAATGAGTTAACAAATAGACAAGCATCACACTATCACATATTGTGTTGAAACATACACTCACACACAGTCACAAATTAATTGGAGAAGCTTAGTAAATACTATCCAACATTTCTCATTGGATTGATTTACCATCTACCTTTATACACTCTTGGTTGCAATGTGTTCTACCATGGACCTACCTAGGTTTGAGTAAGCTGAACACATTTAATTCCCGGTCTTTTGTCTCCACTGAACCCATGTCAACTTTGTACCTTGGGGCTACATGTGACATAGGGGGAGAGGAGAGGGACGAAGCCCTAAAATCTTTCACTGGGGTCTTTAGGCCTGCATCCATTATGGCATCAGTGCTCTCTATTCAATTCACCTATCAAATATAAATATGTCAATGTCCCCTAACAAAAGGCCCATTTACACAACCTGCCATGATCATTTGCACTCCAAAAATCAATGACACCCCAGTGAGAGCTAGGTAGATTTTCTAATATTTTGACGGTATAATACTACAGTTGCATAGTTGGCAGAACACCGGAATGTCAGACAATTCTTGCTTGCAGTGTAAATGCAGCTATATACTGCTTGATGAAGATTCACAAAGCACAAAACTCTCTGATGATGATAATCTGGATCAGTCTAGAGAGTTTCTGTTTTCTTGCAATAAAAACTCCATTGCTTCTCATAAGTCATACACTGAGTGCAATGTGTTGCAAAGATGATATTGATGGTTCTCCTATTGTTGGTTCTTTAAAAGCAAAGCTATATGTATTTCCATCTGAGTGATGAACTATTCTTAGAGAAAACTCAAAGTAAAAATCAACATGCTAATGTAGTAATGGCCGGTGCTCACACTTCACAATCAACTCCAAACAAATATGGAGGCGGTGAGCAGAGCTAGCTAGATGATTGTATTTTAATTGAATGAACAGGCCAGTTTGTTGATCCCTTGAATCAAACAAATAAGCTTCAGTAAATGCAATGCAGAGACAGAGTTGTATGAATAAAAATCCAAGATCCAACATTCCGGACTGAGTATACACAGGTACGTGCTACACACAACAAGTTCACCTTACAAGCCCACTAGAACTCTTCACACACAGATGTCAGAGTGAGGCTTTGAGGTCTAGGCAAAACTCATTGATTGTACCAGGGAGTTGGATGTACGTACTGTACGTGGTCAACTGCATAAATGCAGAAATGATGATCGATCATGTCTGTGGTTTGACCATCAAAATTCACTGAACCAAAGTTTCAACACTCCTCCTTGAAATCAAATGATGAATGCCTGAATATTGCCTTTATCACATCAGATAAGTTATTTCCTTGATGTCACTATCATGACAAATGTTATCCCCATCAATATCACTGCATCAGTCTAAATTTGTCTCAACTCTTAAACCAATGAGTTACTAGCCAGCCAATGCAAGCACTGGTGGTGATACAGAACTGATAACATTTGGTAAACTCATCAGTCTGTAGGTCTTAGCAAGCCAGACAAGTTGTCTTTTAACGCCTAACCGCATACGTGAATGATTACATCATAATATAGAACATTTGTTGTCTTGAAATGTTCTAGGGCTGATATGGTACCATGTAATTTGGGCAATGATTCATAATACTTTGGACTGGAAAGTTTAAAGCATAGGACACCATATAGTGTAATGATTTTTGTATTCAGAATTAAAAAGGTTTGTATCCTGTTCTATTTCTTTAAAACTGCCAACCTACATGTATATTGTACTTGATATATATCAAGCACTTTATTTCGTAAAACTAAATTCATTTGAAATAATTAAAAGTAATACAAAGTTTGGGTATGGGGGTCATGAATTTGGTTCAAATTAACATATTGGAAGCATATGCGATGCTACAATTTCGAGGGATCATTGTTGCGGTTGAAATCGTAAATAATTGTAAATAATAAACTCTTTATGTTGTAAAGCTCCCTCTCAAGGTCAAGATATTAATTAGGCTATAAAACAATGTTTCTTGACTAAAATTGACCGATAAGCTATTTGCTATTTGAAATTTATCAAAATTTACTGGGAGCACCGGTAAATTTTTATATTCAATTTTTCTCGAAAACAGAAGTGTTTTAGGGGCTAAGTTTTCTAGTGCTTATAAAACATCCACATGGGCATCCAAATATATCAAAATTGTAAGGAATCACTATCCACCAAATTTTTAAAATTTCCCAAAACTTTGTATAACCTTTAAGGGTTGAAACTTTTCTGTAATCATTTTATCGAAATGTTTATGGCTAAACACATTCCTCTTGTACATGATGTACCTGCATGCAGTAGGGTTATAATATACTATATATATGGCACACAGAATAAAGAACCCTAAAAGTACAAGAGCAAAGTTACCCCTCTGTATGTTGATCCTATTTGAATAGCCCCAATAAACCTATTAGATAGTACCAGCAAGGTGGTTAATCTTCGTTACCTGTTTCGAATCTTTTAACACTGATGGTCAATAATAGATCAGATACTCAAAAGATGGAATAGCCATGAGTATAGCCATACATATGTTACTAATGCCCCACTCCCAGATATAGAAACTGATATTGCACGAAACAATTTTTACTCACTTGAAAAATGACTTTCAAGTAGATAAACAAACAAATTATTCCTAAGAACGATAAAGAGTACCGGTACACAAATACAGAATTTAGAAAGGATGGTTTGCCTTCAAAGAGAAACAAGAGGTACATATCAGCTGTTGGGTTAACTATAAAATCCAAAGTAATAAATGTTTTCAGACAAAAGTAACAACAAATTTGTGCAAAAAAATCTTCTAAAATCTTATTTATAAACCTGATATCAACTACTGTATATCTTCCTTCTTTATGCTAGCATCTATCAATATTAAGTCTGAAGGCTAGACAAAATATGCACTCAACAGCCCAATGAATTATCACTGACACATACACAAAAGAAAAGGCATAATCCAGCAGATGCATTTCTTCATATTTAATAAATCCCATAGAGCTTTTGATGACTGTTTGTGCAGCACGTATCACAAACATTTTTTATGCCATCATTAAAGGTATTACAAAGTTTTGGGAAATTTTGAAAAATGGGTGGATAGTGATTCTTTACAATTTTGATATATTTGGATGCTCCTGTGGATGTATTACAAACACCAGAAATTTTAGCCCCTAAAACACTTCTGCTTTCGAGAAAAATTGAATATAAAGATTTACCGGTGCTCCCGGTAAATTTTGATAAATTTCAAATAGCTCCTACGGCCGTAAAATCGTAGCTGCGACCATGAAAATCTCAGAGTATGTAGTTGTGGTATATAATTTCCGAACGACAATAGCTAATCGGTCGATTTCAGTCAATAAACATTGTTTTATAGCTTAATTAATAGCTTGACCTTGAGAGGGAGCTATTCAACATAAATGTTTATTATTTACAATTTCATAACTTTAGAGTCGATTTCGCCAGCGACAACGATCACTGAATATTTTAGGATCGTATATGCTTCCAATATGTTCATTTGAACCGAATTCATGACCCCATACCAAAACTTTGTATTACCTTTAATGACACTAGCAAAACATTAGTACACAGACTCTGTTTTTACCACTAATAAGGCACTAGCTTTTATTCTGTGGAAGAATCATCAATCCCATGATATCTATACATGCATGCATCATGTACATAAAACTATTTCAGTACTGCTAAACTTACCCTAATCAAAATAAACTAGTGTTTAAAAAAACAACCAAAACGCTTAAACTAGTGACTAAAAAACACACAAGGGAAACGCTCTTGGCAGTCTAGCCTGCATTACGCAATTCGATATGATGAAAAATTGAGGTTGGGACATTATTTATAGGCGGGGTGGCCCCATTAAGGGGCCCTCAAAAATGAAATCCTCTGAATTGAATCAGCACGTGAATATTGACTAAGAATAATCAGAAGAATTATTTACTATCATATGATGTGGGATACTTGATAACCCTTGGGTACAAGTTTCATGGAATTTAAACAAAGACTTCTGAAATTACCGGTATGCTGAAAATTCAAAATCTTGATGTTGATGCCACAACAAAGTCTAGGTTTGCAGACCTGAAATGACATTTGACCTTCACTTTTTCACTGAAAAGACTAATCACATGATTGGTGATACTTGATAAATATGTTCAAGTTTCATGGAATAGGAATCTAAACTTTCAAAATTATGGGAAAAAATTCAAAATCTTAACCTCAGGTTAAGTTTTTGATGATGCCACAACAAATCTAAGTTTATTGACCTGAAATAACCTTTGACCTTGAATTTGTGGCCTGAAATTCTCCTTACGTGATTGGGGATACTTGATTACCCTTTAGTCCAAGTTTCATTGAATAAGAACTTATACTTTCAAAATTACATTAAAAGTTCAAAAACTTGAGCAACTCTGAAATATATGTTTTTGTCTATATTCTCTTCATTTCCATAAGACAAGAGCAACTCTGAAATATATGTTTTTGTCTATATTCTCTTCAATTCCATAAGACAAGAACAACTCTGAAATATATGTTTTTGTCTACATCTCTTCAATTCCACAAGACAAGAGCAACTCTGAAATATATGTTTTTGTCTATATTCTCTACAATTGCATAAGACAAGAGCAACTCTGAAATATATGTTTTTGTCTATATTCTCTACAATTCCATAAGACAAGAGAGGAAAGAGTCAAGTTTTCTATGAAATACCATAAAAATAAAGAGAAAATATTCAACAAAATATATTTTTGCATTTGAAAAATGACCATGGTATGGCTGGCATTGTCAGAACTTCAGAAGTATAATGAGGCTGAATATTTCTCCAGGAAGATTTTATGAAACAACAGCAGCAAACTTTGAATTCACTACTGGTAAATACTGCTTTAGATTTAATATGATCAGCAGGTTATCGACACTCATGTCCAGTATTTATCCCATGGTCACTGCAGACATATGACTAGCAAAGTCAAGACAGAAATCCTCAAAACTAATCCAAAATCAGCAATAAAAATTGTCAAAGGGTGCGTTTAAGCTTAAATTTTGAAGGCAGAATGAGCGATTTGTAATGCTCATCATTAACGCTCATCGTAATCGCAGTTCCACGGTGTACTGTTTATGCTCACTTCTCTGGCTCCTCCAGGCAATTCTCCTTGGGTGGCCTTAATTGGTCTTCCAGCTGGATTCGCAAACCTTCACTGTGCATGCTACGTAGACCCACTAGAGGTCAGTGCGTTGACCCCATTTAAACGTGTTTACAAATTGTAAACGCATCTTTTTGTGAGTTTACGATCGGCGATCGTGATCGCCGTTTTTCGGTGATTCTACAAAAGTGAGCATGGACGCAACCGTGTTTTAAACTAAACGCGTAACAGATGCCTGATTCTGGCCAGAAAAAGTTAAGCATAAACACGCCCAAAGTCGCCTGAAATCCGGGTGTGTCATACACTGTCTGGCTGGATAACAGATTGAAAGATAGAGGCCCAAAGTATGAAAAAGGGCTCACAACTTCAGCTAGATGTTAGTACACACACACTACAGGTTACCCTGAGGCAGCTCGCATACAAATATAAAGCTGTTACTGAAACCAGTAGTTGTAAGGTGCTGATCGATGTCCACTGAAGGGGGTGACCTACTTGTCTTGGTGCATTCTCATGACCTTCAGTAAACAATGCTCAAAAGACTGAATGTACATAATTATGTATTGCTGGCACACTTTGCATTGATTTCCTAACATTTGAATGTGAACAAATCAATACCTATTTCTTTCCCTCATTTTTGAGCTTCACAAGTATATTTTACAAACATTTTGTTTCACATACATTCAGTTTTTAAGTAATTCTATATCCTCAAATTTACTTTAGATAATCCAAAAAAAATTCTGCTGGCATAAATTTAGTAACATAAATAAGTTGGTTAAAAGATTATAAACATCTAGAGGAAAACAATGTTAGTCAGCATACTGCATCTCATGACTACAGACATTTTATTGAAGTTATATCGAGATCCAAAATCTATCTTGAACGTAAATTAAATGTGTATTTTCTTATTAAAAGGGACAGACACCCAATTATATTCAAACTATGTTTATTTGGTTAACATTAAATGAACTAGTCCTTTAAAAGAGAAAGAAAATCTGTGATAACAATCATCAATAAAAATTTATTTTAAAAAAAAAAATCAAAAAAAAAAATCAAAAAAAATCAACAACAAAAAATATTAAAAAATCAACTTTTGATTAATTAAAAAGTTTTATAACGGATTACCACCCTGTCCCTTAGTCTATCAATGAATAAGAGGAATTGTACATCCATCCAGCTCTCACCAGACAATGTACCCAAGAAGAACATATATTACCAAAAAAAGTGATGGCAATAATGTGTTTTAAAAGTACCGGTATCCATATAACACACTATGAATGTGCAACATTCAAACGTTGACCAGCATATAATATAATTGGCTAAATATGCACCATATAATTGATTTCTCTACAGGATGTTTTCTAGCTGTGTTCTCTGCATACCATACATGCCATGGGGGGGGGGGTGGGGGTATATTACCAGCAGGTTGATAGAGACATCAACCTTAGTTAGGCTTAGGTCTAAATAGTTTGCTCCATGAGCTTGACCATACAACTTGAACTTGTCTTTTGACATTTCAGAGATGCAAAGTACACTGAAGGAATGGGATCATATTGCACCTGCCATCCTTGCTAAGAGGTATCATGTTCATTAAATGTAAATAGTCAAATGGATACCGTTTTCACAGTGCCTCATACATTGGGCCAGAGCTGCCAACCTCCAGAACAGAAAAATCAGTAATCACAAGGCTCAAAATCAGTAATTTCCTATGCAGCGAATCCTAAGAATCTAATAAAACTAAAAAAAATGGCACACTAACACTGTGCGGAGGCATGCGCGCATGATTATCTGACATCTTTGGTGATTTTACTCACACAAAGTTGCTAAATATTTATTTTCAGGTTATCACAACACATCAGTTTTCCATGAAAAATTTAGCTTCTATATATTCTTAGCGGGTGATGCAATCCGTAATTGTAGACATTTCACATTACCGTAATCATCGTTAAATTATGTACTGAATACGGGAAATCCGTACTAGTTGGCAGCTCTGTTGAGCATATAAAAACACAAATGCCACACTCATTAGTTACCTCAATTTTTAAGTTTTTACCTTATTGATATGTTATAAACTAAAAGATGCATTTGTTTCACTCAAGCTCATTTTTTAACCTGACTGTTCCTTAAAGTTCTTAATTCACTTCCCTTGCATCTACAAAATATATATGTCTTATCAAATTTTTACTCGAACACACATTGCATCTATAGCTACAAGCTGTAAGACTGGGCAATTATTAATGCAAACTTATCTTGCATAAATAAATTCTTTTAAGTCTCATCAATGTTTCACTCAAACTCACAGAAGCCGGGTCTTTGAGTTTTCCCCTCAAACTCATATTCACTCTACATCTCTTTGAAGCTAATTATGTTTCAATCAAACAAACAAACAGTCTTCCCATTCTATGTAAGTCTCATAAATGTTCACTCAAGCTTCGATCATATTTGCAAGCTCAATGACAATCATTAATGTTAAACTCCACCTCACCTTGCCTCTACCAGCTCCATGAGTCTCATCCACCGGTCATTCAGTTTGGCCAACTTGTACTCAATATCACTGGCGCGAGCCTCATTGCTAGCTGGGATTAGTCGGGCTCCTACTCCTTCTAGATGCTTCTTGTTTGGGTAAGCTTGTTGGATCTCATCCTGATATTCCTAGAAAAATGAAAACAATTCAGTTGGTGATTTGCTTATAAAATGTTAGTGAAAAACGTTGAAAGCAAAATTTAGTTTTTGAATGTTGTCATTCCTGTTCTCACTGTTTATGTCCAAGAAATGAATAACCTAAATTTTCATTAAAATAAAAACTTTTGTGAATCAAGTGTTTCAGATTCATAAACATTATTCACAAATGAACTTATCATAACTGTCACAGCACTTAACTTTTGCAATTCTTGAAAAAAATTGGCTGTCATTCGCAATTCAAGTAGATTTTACTAGTTTTTTTTACGGTATCTGAGCTAGGCATATGTTGGAGCCCATAGTTACCGTTTACAAATCTTGATTTTCAATAGTACTCCTGATTAATCCAACTCATTTTTGTACAAAGTAATACCGGTAAACCAAACAAGCAAGATATCCGGGATCATGTATAAGCTCTTCTAAATACTCTACTATATTTGTTATGTCAGCAGGAAACTCATCCAGTTTGAAATAAACCAGGTCCATTTTGATACTCTGATCTTACAGCGAAAATACACCAAAGTATTACATTTGAAAGAAGTACTCGTTGATTGCAATTGGTCAATTATATTGTTCTCTGTGGGTTAACTGCATTATTGACTACTTCCTTGAATCATTGCTTCATAGATAACTGAGGAAATGATCACTATCACTCTCTCTACCTCTGTCTTCCTCTCTCACAGATCACCAAGTACCCCTACAAATATTCCATGTGTTACGACTTAAAATAAACTTAATCTAAACATTGACCTAAATGGGTCCATAATCTAAATAGGTACTTCCTTTACTGATCTTACATATTCTAAACCATGTCTGCATGCGATCTCCAGAATTCTACAGAAAGTAAAAATCCTGTTTGTTTGCCATTTCCTTGTAGAGTCTAATGCCACATCAGGCCCATTTACTAATACAAAATTTTGAATCATGATACATATCTACCTTTTTGGTGCCTATATATTCACAAAAGTGACATTGACACTGGTTAAAACATTTGCACTCCATCCAATTCAGTGCAATAAAGAGCTCACAGCAACAACAAAAAACCCCAAAAACACTCTTACTGCAATCTAAATTGCAATCAGAATCTCACAATTAGTGAGATTTTGTGTTCATACATGACAATATGACATTCAAATGTTGATTAATGTCACTAGTTGCTCTCTGTGTGAATGGCCCAGACAATACTGTTAGACATCAAAGGTTTACTTCTTAATCTAGATTATCTCCTCAAGATCTATTAAGAGTTGACTGTACCATGATTGTACCAATGAATTAGACAGAGTAAACAGACAAATAATCTACCACATATGAACTAAATTACCCATATTTACAAATCACCAATAACAAAAAATGAATGAATGAATGAATGAAATATCAAAAGATTCAATAAATGATAAAAGAAATATTGGATTCCAATTTTAGTACATACAAGACATATGAAGTACAATCCAGTTACTGACATTGCATTAATATAAAATCGAATGCCTTTTTTTATTTTGAAAGATGCTGTCCTGAATTGTACATTACATTGCACCCATTTTTTTTAAAAGTTGACACACAAACTTGTCCAAGCCAGACAGACAGCCATGATGCAGTTGAGACTTTTAAGGATAATAAATCCTCAACTGTTGATGGATCAGGATATATTCCAACTTTCTAGACTGCTGACTTTGAAATCCTGGATCAACACTTCCGCTCAAAACACAAAATCCAAGAAGGCTTTTTTCCAGGTTAGTTTACACATAAATGGTTAAAGTGATGCAGATTCTTCTTGCTATGCAAGAGCAGTGATATATCTTATAATTCCATTGTAATGTTCTTGATAGAGCCATGGTAGAATGAGCTCAGGCACTGTGGTAATCACTGATTCACTTCAAGTGAATCTAAGGTACTTATTCCTTCAATAGCCTCTAGACTGGGCACAACCAGGCAATCTTTCCTGGTGACTCTGATTCTGAAGTACATAAATGCAGATTAAATTGCAGACCTTCATTACAATAGTGTCTTGATAGGCAACAGAAAATGATAAGAGGTCTAACAGGAAAGCAATATTATTTCTACTACAGGGTGAACTCATTCGTAAAATCCGCAAACGTATATGCTGTGACAAAAGACTAGTGAGACATAGACCTCGGTAAAGGGAAGGGGGAAATTAGATATCCTTTTGAAAGCTCAAGAGGCATTCTGCGTCACTGTTACTGACAGCTAATGGTTGCTACCTAACTGCATGCCATAGGCCTGCAGGCTGCCATCTCAAATATGCTTGGACTGGGTCATGATGACATGGTCGATGCGTTCACTCTCATAATTAATTCTTATTACTAGATATGAATATATAGGCTTTAGAATTCAAAATTGTTAATCATGGTTGATTGTAAACCATTATTTCTGATGAATGATAACTTTCTGAATGGGATCTTAAAGATTTAATTGGTTTTAAAATTCATGCAAAATTTAACTCAAGGGATGGGCCTTTATTTTCCTGATTATATCAAGCTTGATGAAACAGAAAATCATGAGAGCCCATGTTACCATATTTATATATATATATATATCTATGTTATATTTTTTCCCGTAACATGAGAGTAATTTTAATCATTTCATTCCTATAATTAAATGTAATGTTAATTGTTATTGTATAATTTTGTTAAATGGGGGCACGCTACAAGAGTCCTATCTCGCACCCCGGGGCAACGTGTCTGACACGGCCGGTTGTAGCAACTGCTCCGAAGATCAAGATACATTAATCTTGATCTAAGGACACGAACGAACGAACGAACCATATTTAGTCTCACAAATAGTATGCAATTCAGTAAGAAAATGCTGAAAAGACTTCCTGACTCTTTCAATAAGTAAGGACAATTCTTAGCACACAATTCCATCTAATTTTCTGCAAGTGTCATGAATCAATGAAGTACATTACTGTCCTGTTCCTTGATTAATGACTGGGCAATGTTAAATCTTTCCATTTTATAAACATCTTGTCACATAAAATTGTTTGTTGTTTCCAGATGAACTCAATTGCACAAATCGAACCTTCTTAATCCTCACCATATCTTCATGAAAGCCCATTTAAATGCTATGTGTGAACACATTTAAAGCTGTGTGTGAACAATGTTATCCTCCTGTGAGTGATTAGTAATCCTAGAGGACTAGAGGTTCATTCTATTTCGCTGGCTCAGCCTCAATGGCTAGCCCACAGGCTTATATATTGTTTCTAATGACAAATTAGAAGAGTTATGTTTCATGGGTTTGATAGCTAGCTTGCACTACAGAACTTGCTCAAAATTAATGTTTGTTTCAATAAAAACAAGAACTTAAAAAGGCAATGCAATGTTGGTCAGATGTGATAGGGACCAAAGTAGCTTTGCTACATTCTACTCCATTTTTAAACACGTACAGTACATGCCGAAAATCTCCGCAAAACGATTTACACGATTCAAAATTTACACGATTCGACTGCTCGCGGGAATTGTGTAACCATTTATTTTTACACGATTCGTTTTTTGCCAATGAAGCAAAATTTGAATTGTGTAAACGTGAAAAATTACATGATTCCTCAATTCAGGTCGAATCGTGTAATCGTGTAATCTGCCCACCGAAAATCTCCGCAACACGATTACACGATTCAAAATTTACACGATTCGATTGCTCGCTGGAATTGTGTTACAATTTATTTTCAGTGGTGATGGTGAGCAGGTTAAGGACGTCTAGTTCAGTAAAAGCAAGAAGTTACTTCTTGGTTGAACGAGGACAACGTAGACGATACGAGGGGATAGCGAAGATTACGCTTTCTTTCTCTTGTATATATTTTTAATTGCAGTGTCTTGTCTCTAGTTTTATTATAGACTGTTTGAAAGTTAAAAAAATCAGTCCACTTCCCGAAAAGCACTCTCGGATTTAATCCTCGGTGAGAAAAAAGAAAAAAGCGATGAACAACAAAGGAAGGGGGGAATTTTGTTATTCCTAAGTTGTAAATAAGGAAAAATGATTACAAAATGTAAAGGAGGGCTAACATAATTAAGTATGTTGTGATACTCTTACATTACAAGGCTGTACCAATTAGAATTATGTTCACCAGCTCATTCATTACTATGAATATCGTTATACTTTTTTTTTATTCAATCATCATCCATTTTACAAACCTGGTTTGTAAAAACGTGTCAAAACGCATCATATGATGCACGAAAACCAAGGTTTGTCGACAAATCTCCTTTGTGAATTCGGGCCTTAGACTTTGATCACTTATTGCTTTTTTAGCTTTCCTTATTTTCGTAAATTACCTTTTACAACATTGCATTATTCAGCTATATGTATAAAGAGCTACGGTCAAGGCTTAAGGGCACACTTCCTGTCACATACAAAAGAAGCTTACTCTGAATGTGGCCTGCCATTGACCCTCGCCGGGGACAAAGGCCGTTGCAGGCAGAGATCCTTACATAATACCTATTTTTCAGGGGGTTCCCCTTGAACATAGGATCCCCCTGAACAATAGGTATTACATGTATGTAAGTATGTAAGCCACTGGCTACAAAGTGTAGGGAACAGTTGCAAGCCGAGAATGAATAGAATAAGTGAATGGCCAACTGTCTTTGAGTTACGTTTAGCTAGCAGCACAATGTCCCCCCACTTTTTCAAGTTTCCCCAAAGTGCCCCTTTGTATGTAGGAAAAGTACCTATCTTACTTTGACAAGTGTCCCTATTAATTTGTAAAAGTGCCCCTTCCCCTTTTCAACTCTGATAAGTGATCCTTTTCTTTTGACACACGCCCCTTTTCCTTCGACGAGTTCCTTTTTTCCTTTGCAATATAAAGTGTCCATTTTCCATTCTCATTAGTGTCCTTTTAATCTCTAGTAAGTATCCCTCCTGAAGTACGAGAAGTGCCCCTCTTCACTTTTGATAAATGCCCCAATCAACTCCGATAAATGCCCCTATTAAAATCTGATCGGTGCCCCTTTTCTTTCAACTAAAGC